TTCTAGTAATCAGTGTAGCTTTCTCACTATCTAGAGTCTTTAGTTACCTAGACTTTTAGTCACCTGGACCCTCTGCAGATTTGGTCAAATTCTTAATAATCAGTGCATGATACAGTAATCATAATCTGGACTCAGACTTTACCCAAAAGAACATGAGTAACTCAGTCTTCGGAGGAAGAAGACAATGGTGGACGCATCCCACGCCACTGGGGGACCATGGGGTTTGCTGTCCAGCAGCAGGACTGCAGCTGCTTGATTTTATAGGCAATATCTCATCTGCTGTTACACTTCCCTGTTCCCTAGCGGGTGTCACCACATCCTGGCAGCAGTGCTTGGTGGACAAATGGTCTTGTCACAATTCTGACAGGGGATATGGCTGTTCTGTAAAAGGGATCACCACATCTTGGTGACAACCACAGTGTTAAAAAGGGGAAGAGAAAAGGAGATGATACATCATCAGCACGCATACATTTTATGTCTTAGGAAGTGGCGTTGGTTATGCTAACCATATTGCCAGGAGTCAGGAATAGGGCATACAGGTCACCTGGCTTCAGTGGCAAGCCTCATCTTAGTGTAAATGCATCTTCCTGAGCAAAAATCACACACTGTGCTCAGACCCTTGGGGCATGTACATATTCATTGCCACCTCTGAGATGGAGACAGTGATCCACAGCTGAAGGTAGTAGGCATTATCTTACTTACAGTTTCAGCTGCAAATGTGTGTCTGTGACCCAGGAGACCTGTGGACGTGGAAGATTCAGTTCCCACTCAGTTCTTCAGAGCCCTAGGTCTGTGACATGCATAAAGTAATTTCTCTTTCTTGGAGAAAGTCCATGTACTCGGTAAGTTTTATGTTATCTTAAGCATGAATTCTCCAGAAAATTGCCATTGGTCTCCTCTAGAAAGGTGCTCATGTTAGCGCAGGACTGAAAGGGAACCAAAAGACACCTTTGCAACAAAGCTGTCAGGGAGGAAGGGCGAGAGCCACCAGCATGATCCCTTGCCATAGTATTTGCTGTAATCTCAGACAATTGAGCACCAACATGCTCTTTATGAGGACACTCCAATGTTGTTCTCATCCCATAAAGAATGACTCAAGGCTTATATTGGTGGAAAATGCTCTTCCAAGCTTATTGGAAGCAGTGTATGGTCCTCATGATAATGCATTGATCACGGTCAGTGATAAAATGTCTTCTGGACCAAGTGTTCTGTGATCTTTGATACCTTTGTAAGCAGTGACCAAAATGAATCGCTTACGTAAGAACAAGCACCGCATTATGTTCCCTCTGCATCTCAGGCCATCTTGTTCCTCAAGCTTCATCTGGGTGTCATTTCACTCACAGAGTGGACTATTCTAGTCATAAACTAACTGCTATAATTTGCTTTTCTGACATGAGGTCTTAATAGCACATTTAAGCCCTAATAGCAGCTCATCTATCAGCCACAGCTTCTGTGAGACTCGCTGTGGTCAATGCTTGAGAAAATTCTTCCTGTGAGCAATATATGGCTGGATGAGTGCCCCAGAAGTGCCTACATGCCTAAGTAAACACATCTTCTCAGCTCACAGCAGAAGGTATTCCTATCTCTGTATTGGAAGAGCCTGCCTACTGTGATTGCAGCCTGCTCTCACTGTCTCTGTGACTCTTCACAGCCTGTCAGTTTTTCTATTGACACTTCTTCAGTTCATCACAACCCCTCTCTTTTCTGTAGGCTTGCTTCCATAAGAGTGAAGTGCTTAGGCTGCCTCGAACCAGCAAGTGGTACATTAACTCCTCCGAAGCTGTGTGTTTGAGTCTGTGTCCATGTTCACTTCGTTAACAGTTCCTTTTAATCCTGCTTTGGTTTACCTTCACATGTTCACACAGACAGCAATACGGAACTGAACAGAGAAAACAAGTCACACATAAAATATTCATGAGAGATAAGATAGATACTTTCCCAGTTTGTCAGCTCTGTCTGAGATTCATCTCCTAGCTAATCTGTTGTGAAGTCTACTTATGTTCTGCAGGAGACTTAGTGTTTATCCTCGTAACATGCAAGTAATCCATCTATTTGTGTCTGAAGGCTTTATTTAATTCTTACTCTCTTCCAAAGGAAATGTACCCTCTGTTTTATCCAGATAATTGTTAGTTGCACATTTCTGCTAAAATATTACTTTCTGTATTGTCTCATCTGTATGGCTCATGCAGATTTGGACCTTGTTTATGGAACACGTAAATACTTTTCATTCCAGTATAGCTGAATGATTCTTAGAGGTTTTTACTTTCCTTTTCCTTTTTATAGATAAATTTGTTTTCCGTTATTATTCTGCATGTATTATTACATCCTTGGAAGAATATATTGGGAAAAAAAAAGAAAAGGCAGGGTTCTACTACTGTGTTGTTTGTTTGGTTTTGGTTTTGTTTTTTTTTTTTTTCATAAGGAGCAACACCAAGGGAAGCAGGAAGAAAAGATTGCATCCTCCAAATAGCATCCTCAAACTACGGTGAAGGAGTAAGCCAAATACTAAGCAACAAACCAGTGTTTTTTATTATGCTTGGGCAACAGTGACTGTTCCTTTGACACCAAATGTTGAAAACAGACACAAACATTGTGCTAGTATGATTTCTAATTAATTGTTTCAAGTTATTTTCTCAATATCTAAGATATTTATGATATCTGAGTCAGTTTAAAGCCCTTCACGTTCTAGCTCAGAACAGATTTGTTCAAATAATGATAGGCTTAGTGATCTACATCACAAATACATCTTGACCAAATTTAGTAACTAGAGCCACACAGGGAGGCTAGCATGGGATGAGTGTCATGCTATTCAGGTGAGGGAAAAATAAAGTTGGGAGTAAAGCCATCTAATTATAGCTGGACTGAAGGCCTGGGAAAGCTGACTTTTAGTTTCTAATCTGCATTGTATAATGATGGAAGAGGTGAAAACTATTGGGAAGTGGGTACAAACTGTTTAACTCCCTCTGCTTTGATCCATGTCTGTGCACATGGACTGACAATGGGGCTGCAGAGTGACAGATAACACATTGTCTGCATCACTCTCCAGGTGCTGCCCTGGAGCCTCCTGTTCAAACACATTATCTCTCCCACCTTGTTTGCAAACCAGAGTTCAGCAATGGTAATAAATGGGTACCATTACTGCATGGGCACAGCATCATTATATATCATCGGCAGGGTGACATACCTCCATGTGCAAAAACACGTTGGAGCCTGTCTCATGTTAGCTGTGAACAATCTGATCTGTTGGTTGCTTACCAACAAGCCCTGGCCTTTAAACCTTTTAGGATCACTTGTTATTTCTCACACACTGGTATCTTGAATTTTGAAGCAGTTTGGCAGTAAAGGGGAGATCTCTATTCGGTGTGTTTCTGCAGTAAAAGAAGTTCTTCTCTGTGAAAGAGCCAGCACACTGAAGGGTCTGGAACAAACCTGCAGGACCATAACAGGTCTGTCTTAGCCAGCACCTGTTATGGAAAACATAATGATCTTGCTTTTATCCAACACAGAAGGATTCTGTTAAACAAAGATTTGTGTATTGACAATAGTTGATGAGGAGAATTGCGGAAAGTAGTACAAGCCAGAAGAATTATTAGAATTATAGAGAGACACGGGGTATGCTTTTTAGAAGGGCATTTAATTCCCTTTTTCTACCTTGCCTATTCTACTTCTCACACTTTATTTCATTTTTCTTCCTGAGAGATAAAAATAATATGATTTTAATAGAAAATGCAATTATTGCCTTGTCGCAGGAACTTTTAAGGTAACCTACAAGTACAGCAGAGAAATAAAAACACATCAGATGACTTTGAGGTGGTATTTCAACACTCTGATTGATTAAACCATCATTTTACTACTCCAATCTTAATTGTAGTTTCCATTTTTAATTTCCTTTGAAGGTTATTTACCATTTACAAGCCATTTAGATGAAACATTGAAGTTAGATTTGAGAAATCTTCATATTTACTAGAGACATTTTCAGTTTCTGCATCTCTTATACCCTTACAACATATTTTGAATTTTCAGCCTTTTCAGTTGAATTCAGGGAGAAAGAAAAAGTAGGAAACATCTCTAAAACAATTTTTTTCTTGTGGGGTCCCAATCTGTCCAGGCTGTAACCCTGCATACTCAGCAGTTGATTTGCGGTGAAAAACAACTGAGAGCCAGCTGCAGCTGACCCTGGGATTTCGTGATGCTTTCAAGATTATAGACTGATCATTACAGCAGACACAACCCAAGAATGGAAAATGCAAGTCAGATCGCAGATCTCACACAACAAGCACAATGAAGCCCTCAAGCCAATTTGTGGGGTTTATGTCCTGTTTTTATTTTTAATAGGCTCTTTCAGAGTTGTAACAGAGTTATAATTGGCCTAATACCATTATAAGAGCAAACACAGCCATGACAGTTCTAAAATGCATGACAGCCAGAACTTTTTCCTCCTTCACAAAAAGGTTGGCTGTAATACTACAGTGCAGCAGAGACCTGTCTGGGAGCAGTGGCTGTCCCAGATCTCCTGTCACACTGCCTGGCTATAAGCTGTTCAGGACTACCAAAGGCTGTTAGTGCTTTTTAAAACCATCTTGAACTAAATAAAAATGACAGGTGGTTAACTGGGTTCATCTAGGAAAGACAACTCCCCATAAAACTTTTCTTTTAGGATAGGGAAACAAATCTTGAACATTTACTGTTGCTTGTAGTCACTTGAGTGGTATTTCAACCTCATCTCTCTCTCTTTCCTGAAAATTATGTCTCGCAGGAGCGGCTCAAAGCACTTGCTTTTACAGCTACAGCCACAGCAGAAACGTCCCCGGGTGTGTAACAGGGGCCGGGAGTGTGTGACCAGGCGCTCACTGTCACACTTGTCAGTGGAGTTCAGGCAAGGAAACACACACCACTTCGCAGTTAACGGAGGCAACGGCTGCTTCTCAGTCAGATTCCTCTACCTTTTGGGCAGCTTATTTTGCTAAGTATATTTTGGAGGAGTTGTGGGAGGAGGGAGAGATGCTGCTGCTGCATGTGCAGTGCAAAGCGCTTGGCTGTGATAGGCTGAGAGGACGTGGATACTCTGCCTATATATGCTGGCGACTGCATCCTCTGTGCTTTATAGCTGTCACAGAGGAGCAAAAACAGTGAGAAGGACAGAGGAGCAGGAGGAACCTTACCAACTCACTGTAAGTAACAGTCTTTGTCCTTTAAGCTTTGTGGTTATTGAAATCAAGTATGTGCATTTGGATTAATGCAACAATTGGTTAGCTAAGAGTGGGAGCTCAGCTAGTAAACAGCTAGCCTGTGTTATTTTAAGGATAATCTGGGATACTCAAAGAGCATTTCTTTTTAACCTAAGTTTGTACAATGTAGTGTGCACCTCTCATTTTGCGTTTGCTTGTTTTTACATATGATGTACGTCAGCTATAACTGTTTATGTACATTTATGCAGAATCCCATGTATCCAAAAGTTTCTATCTTATCTTTCCAAGTGCAACAGCTCTGAACATCCAAGCAGACCCTGAGAAATTCTCTGCCAAATATTCTGAATAATAAAATTTTCAAGATAAATGCAATGCATGACTTTCTAGGGTGAGGTTTTTCTCAGAAGTAACCCTTTCCCATCACTATAGTAAGACCCCAGAAGGGAAAATTACTAAATTGCAGACTCTGTGTCAGTGACAGCAATGAATAAAACAAGCAACTTCTAACTGGAAAATGAAATTTTAAAATGAAATGTAGGGCCTGTAACATATATACCTAGTTCTTCGCTTGTACAAATGTCTTGGCTTGTGCAAAGGTAGAAGTACAGAGTAGATCCAGTTCCTTTTTACTCATGCTGAAATAAAATTAATCCTACAGTCCTTATTCAGGCAATACTCCTGTTGCCAACAGTAGAAGTTTAGCTTAACAGTATCAACAGCTGCAAAAACCTTCAGTTGGGTTCAATAGCAGAAAGTCCTCATGGCTTCAGTGGTGTCACTGTAGCACCACAAGCCTTTATATTGCATTATATTCTGGAACAATCGGAAGAATAAAAAGTGCACTTGTCTCATTTATTGGAAAGATACACAGTTGTTACATTTTTTGAGCCAATGCAGCTATCAGTTTAAGGTGTTATTAATGCATCTATGTGTTCTTCTGTTCTGTATCTAATAATAGGAGCTGCTAGAATATTTTATGTTAGCTGTTTTTTATTTTACTTTGATGAACTGGAGAACAGTCACTTATAAAATTATAATATGTTGACTATACCCATCTCCTCATTTGGTTTCTTTTTCCTCTTTTTTTCTCTTTTTCTTCCTCATAACATATTTCCTGTTAGTATTTAGTTATCTCTTACATTTATAATTAGTTAATACAAAAAAACAGATTCTAAACAGTACTTCTTAACTTCTAGACAGTACTTTTTAACAGAAATAAGCTGAATGTTATCTACATAATGTTATACCTCTAAAGTAATTTAATACTTAATTGTTTGTAACTGCTCATTTGTATGGTTCAGTTTCAAATAAAGTAGAAAACAGTTTTCACATTAACATTATACCAAATATGCAATCTAAAGACTAACAACAGTTTTCAGTAACTTCACCAAAATAAACTGTTGATGTGTTCTAGTTTAAGTGTACTGACGTAGAAGGAGTAGTTTAAACAAAGCAGCAAAGGATATGTCAACTTTAGATTGTGTAGTGTACTTGTCCTCTGGCAAATTCCCACAAAATTAAAGAGCAAAGAGTTTATATATGAATAGTAATAATAATAATTAAAAAAAAGAAGATACATTGATATAATTTAAGATTTAACATGATTGTTCTTGTTTTTACCTGAAGTTAAGAGCAAAACTCAGTCTTCTCCAGTAAAATCTCACTTGATCTGAAGAAGTACTCAGTGGTGACAATATCCAGTGATGCTTGCTGGGAACAGAAGTACTAAGACATAATACATGTTTGGTAAAATTGTATTTTATCAATCAGAGTGAGGCTATCCATGAATTTGAATACACACTGTGCTTACAAAGTGGTTGAGTTCCTCCTGAGAAGCTGTGCTTTCCTCTCTTGGTGTTCAGCTGGCAGATGTTGAATATGCTGAAATTTATCCTGGGAGGTGTGGGATCCCTGAGAGCATGGAGCCTTAATCATTCTTTGTGGGCCTTCAAGAAAACAGACCACTATTAAATACTGTAGAGAGTGTTTCAGTTTCTCTGAAACTTCCATTTAGTTTTGGAAACTCAGCCTGCATTGTTTTGCAGTTTAAATCCCTTCGGCTTAAGTGGATATTTTGAGTACACACAGATTGTAACACTTAGCCCTTCAGAAAATATGGGTGCTCTCAAAAAGTGTTTTCATTTTAGACCCTAAGGGCTGAGTTGTCTAAGGTGTTTTGCTTCTTAGAAAATCACATTCTACTTTTTTAAAATATACTGGTGTAGAGGGAAGGTTCCTCTGTGCATTGTGTTGTTGCATTGTACATGTGTTGTATATGCACGTGAAAGGTAAAAGAGATAAGATATTCTGTACTGGTAGAGAGGTGAAGTAATTTGCATTTTTATAGTGCTAACTGGTAAGCATTACAATTGTCAGATATTCTAGACTACTGGATCTGGCTTCCATAGCAAGTAGTACTTTCAAGCAGATGAAGTGAGACCTATAACGAACAGTTGAGGAAGAGAATAGAAATAGGGATGGGAGCCTTGTCACTCACAGAGGAATAGATATAAAATAGGAGGTGAAAAGGAAACTTTACATGACCACTGTGTTCCTGCAAGGAGTATGCCTTCACAGTTCCTGGTGAGATAAGTGTATTACATTAGTGAGAAATTTTCAGGCAAGAACTTTTAGGGAAGAAGATGCATGGATACATAAAAATAGATAGATGTTAAGATAGATTTCACTTTCTCAATATTGTCTTTGGGGGAAAGAAGAATTAAATACTTTGCTTCAGATTGAAGCAGATTGATGTATTTTACTGTATAAAACTGAATTGAAAGTTCATTAGAGGTTAACTAGATACTAGTTTATATCAATTTATAACACTGCAGCAACTACGGCAGATTTGGGATGGGTGGTTCATCCTCCCATTCTTTATGCTTAAGCTTCCTGGTTAAATTACTTCACCCATGCAAAACAGTGGGTTTCCCCTGTAATTTAATTCTTTATCCTGAATTTTGAGAACGCTGTTGCAGCAGTAATTTATGACAGAAGTAGTGCAGTCAAAAGAATGTTAAGATAAGACAATAGACCTCCAGTTCTTGGGAAGAACTATTTTAGCAAATAACAAATGAGATCTCAGTGATTATCTAAAATGTGTATTTTGCCAAACTGGGTTGAAAAATTTCAGTTCCATGGTCATAGGCTGAAACCACAGAATATGTATCTGATGTTTAAATTCAAATTTTATTTGCATATCCTGATATCCAAAAAGAACTTTGTCCAAACTGCTAATGATAAAAATGTCAATAAATTATATCAGCATATTATATAGGAACAAGATGATGCGAATATTACTTGGAATAGAAAGAAATTTCAGATCCAGAAAAATCTAAGTGGTAGAAAAATGGTCACAAGCTATATATCATAGTATCTATATTGTGGTAATGTGATAAAGTACATTTATTTTTGTCTGTGTGTTTGTGAGCTGTTCTGAGCTTACACATGATGCTATTTAATTTATGCCATTTGATTTATGTTTTGGGGAAAGACAAAAAGATCCACAGAAGCTTCTATGTTAAATGATGCCCTATATTTGATTGATACAAAATAAAGCTATAGAGTAGTATAGTCATATTCTTACCTGTTCTGACATTGTACTGACAGTTCATTGAACTCAGATACTGAATTGTTCCATGTGTAAAAGTCCATAGGAATGGTGGTGAGCAACAGTGGTGCTAGAAACACCAAATCCTCAAGTTCTGAGTCAGTACATTCTCAGGCAACTCCCACTAATTTGGAAGTCATGGGTTAAATTCTTATTTTCACAGCTTTCATCTCTGAAAACAAAGAAAAAAAATAACAGATTACCACATGCAAGTTCTTTAGAGCATGCTATAGCAATGAGCTGATGAAGTAGCATAAAAGAAATAATGATAGCATAAGTTAAAGGTTAATTTAGAGATACTTTGAAAAATAAGTGAAACAGTACGATATTTAGATTTCTTCCAGCAAAAATATATAAACCAAAGAACGGGGCCTTGGGGTGTAATTAGATTGCTGCCACAGAGATGCATATTAACTGATGCAGTTCATGCTGACATTGAGAGAGTTTATTACAATTCTGAACTGCAATCAAAGATGTGTTAAATGAAAACGCACATAAGATTTGGGGGTTATTGAAGAAATGGAATCATCCTGCCTCTGAAGGAGTAGAAACAAAACTGCTTGCTTAAACACAGTCTTTCCAAGGGGAGATGACATACAAAGCTGCCCACCAGCATCCTCTGGGGACCATAATGACTACTGGTAATGTGTTTCCGGCAACTTAGTAGCGAGATCTGAGAAAGGTCTTAATTCCCCTGTCTGAAAGGCATAGAGAGAGCCAAAGAAACACTTATGTGATAGTTAAAGAGAATAATATAACTCTAACAAAATAGCAACAAGAACAGCTATCATCGGGGGGGGGGGGGGGGGGGGGGGGAGGGGGGGGGGGGGGTTAGAAGCTCCTACTGTGCAGATCCTTGCTTTCCCAAGTGGTTCACGACCTATAGCAGCACCCTGCCTTCCTAAATAGCAGCAGCAGCTGCTCCATACAAATCCCAGATCCTTTATTTGTAGCAGCAAAGATGTCTCTAGGATGGTGTTTATCAATGATGTCTTTCTTTTGTAATGTGACAGTACTGATTCAAATATAATAAAGCCCAGAAAGGTCTCTTTTTTCTCAAAATTATGTCCCAAGATATAAATCCTTAGCACACATAGCTGATATCTAAGAAATTGTCTCCTAATTACATAATATTCACATTGTTCTTAATATAATTATTTCCTTACAAAGCGAAGACCTGAAGGTATGTGAACTAAGCATAGTAATTCTTTACACCAGCAGCGAGTACCCTTGTTTCACTTGCCAACTTTATTGCTAGATCCCAAGGAACAGTATCACTCAATCTGAGTGTATAAAGACTCAGGGACACTGTTCAGGCGCTGTGGTCGCAACCTTGTATTCACTGAGCATTCAAAATGCACAGTGAATACAGTAAAAAAGTTGGGCAGGCCAGAATGGCAGGAGCAGGCAGCCTAGCAATACAAATTTATGTTTGCACAGCACTTCGCAGGCAAACTCCAGCTCACCTCAGCTGAGCCCTATATCACCTTGGGTCTCTACCCACACAGCCTCTGCCTAGCTCAGAGCACGACTGGAGCTGTAGCCCAACATCTTGGAAATAGGGACAGTCCCTGACAGACCTTCCTCACACCCTCCTGCAAAATACAGTATAGATCAACACTACGTGAATTAAAATTGAAACTTTGGTAAGAAAATTTTTTTAAATGGCGCTGCATGTGCATTTACAACAAAAGAGGAAGGAAGCTAAATCTTGAGCACAGGAGACAATAAGTAGCTAAAATGACAGGGCAGCACAGTGGATCAATTTGGTAACTGTGATTATTATAGCTTGTTATTATAGATTATAACAGAAACACACAGCTTGCTATTTTCTTAGACCTCTTCTTTATAAGGCAGGAGGGAGATGACTATGTGCCACGTAACAGTGACACATTCTTGTGTCAACCAGCAGCAGTAGAGATTAAATCTGTAAATTCTGAATCTTCTTCAATGTGCCTCTACTGCTCTTCTGTACAGCCTATCTCTATTAACCTACATCATGACCTAGGCATCAAAGATTTAACAGTATGATTTACTTCTGTACAATGTCCCGCTAATACTGGAGTAGAGCAGAATGCAATACTGTATGGGCATTGGCCGAATCCTAATATGCAGAAATAAAAGAGCATACGTTTTTTTCAAAATGGCCACATGAGTCATCCTATAAGTCATGTGAATAACAGGTTTAAAACTAGTAAAATTTTCTTTCAAAAGTTACTTTTCTTTTTTTTTTTTTTTTTTTTTCAGGGTTTTTCTGATAATCAGTCCTAAACTCTGATACCCATGGATGCTGCAGAGTTCCGCAAGAGAGGGAAGGAGATGGTGGACTATATTGCAGATTACCTGGAGAAGATAGATAAAAGACAAGTCTTCCCAGATGTGGAACCAGGATATCTAAGGCCCCTCATCCCAGACTGTGCACCCCAGGATCCTGAGAGCTTTGAGGATGTCTTTAAAGACATTGAGAAGATCATTATGCCAGGGGTAAGAAAAATGGATCTGTAGTGTAATGTCAATACTGCATTTTCAAAGACTTTAAGGAAAGTGTGGGTTGAAGGGTGTGCAGCTAGACCTTATGAATGTAAGTACCCACACTGATTAGCTTTTAGAAGGCAGGAGTCTGCTTTATATTCACAGTTAAATATGATCTAACAGTTTACACAACTAATGTTTTCTGTTCTTGCTAGAAATAATCAAATCATTCTTTTGCTTCCTGCAAGGCTTGCTTTTGGAAATAATCCCCTTTCCTCCCTCGAGTTGGTTAAGGCAAAGCTTCATAACTTTCAATTTCATGTGATATTTCTTCTACTTGCAAAGCACAGTAAATATTTTATAAAATGGGATTTTTATTAGTTTGCTGTGCCTAAAGCGTTCCTTCAAGATCATCTTTAAATGTTAAAATTCTCTTAGGAGATTTTTTTTTATTACAGAGTTGACTAGAAAGGATTCTCCTCAATGCTTGTTCTGTTGACTTACTCTCCTAAATGTCAACTTCTGATACATTTTAAGGCAGACGGTGGTGACCTAAATACTAGTCCTTGGATAGATCAGCGTTGGACAGACAATGCAGATCAAAGCATCTTGCATTTGTCCAGTTCTGAATCTTTCTTGTTTTTCCACTCATGGCGTACCTTTTTTATTTTAAATATATGCTTGTATCCTAAGGCATCTACATAGCTTGAATAAGACTGGATTATTAGTATATGTTAATGAGGAATCTCTCCTTTGGATCTCTGCAATAACTGCTTTGGGTTGCTTTTCTGGATGTAGCTAGGTGATATGATTGCTATGTGACTGGACATGGACCCACTGCTCTGCAAATGTGTTTAGTCAGTGTACTATAATACCAATTCCTTTTTATTGACCAATGTAAATATTTGATATTCAGTATGACTTTATCTTGTTTCCCTTGGAGCCAACCCTGCTGTCCTTTCACAGGCAAAAGCTCCACTGAACTCAATGGAAATCTCTCCACTCTTCTCAAAGATTTGTGGATGAAGTCTTAAATCCAACAGAATTAAATCAGTGCAGATTAGATAAGAGAATTATGTCCAACACATGCAAATACTTTCACTGCTGCTAATAGATACGATTGCCTTTTTTTTTTCATTGGAGGAAAATACTAACCAATATTTTTTGTCTCTGAAGTAGAACAGAAAACACTTTGCTTTGAACACTTGAAAACATTCAATAAAATAATATTAAATTAAAAAATAAGAGATGAATCATTTGAGAATAGAAGGTGAGACATTGAATTCCAATTATGTCATCAATGTGTCATGTTCCCTCTTAAATGAATTGATTTTCTCTTGACGTGCCCTGCAAATAAATTTACTTTTACAAAGTGATACATTCTGAAGAAGAAATGTGCTATCCAAAACTTTCCTCTGGTGTGAAATGTTAGTGTTTGTGACACAAAGAACACAAGTACATAAATCCCAGTTCTTATAGTAATTCTGATTCTGCCTGTGTTGTTTATACTAAATATTGAAGGCTCACGTGAGCACATAATCACAAAGTCATAGTATAGTAGGGATTGGTTGGCACCTCTAGAGATCATTTAGTCCACCCTACTGCTCGAAGCAGAGTCAGTTAGAGCAGGTTGCTCAGAACCATGTCCAATTGGGTGCTGAATATCTCCAAGGATGAAGTGTTCACCATCTCTCTGTTGTCCTGCTCGAAAGTCCAACCACCCTCACTGTAAAAAAAACTTTTTTCTTATGTTTAAGTGGATTTTTCTGTATTTCAATTTGTTCACATTTCTTCTTGTCTTGTCACTGGGTACCACTGAGAAGAATCTGGCTTCATCTTCTTTGCACCCTCCCATGAGGGGTTTATACACATTAACAAGATACCTGCTGAGCTCTCTGCAGGCTGAACAATCTCAGTTCTGTCAGCCTCTTCTCATGTGACAGATGCTCCAATTAACCATCTTTATGACCCTTCACTGAAATCACTGAAGTATGTCCATGTGTTTCCTGTACTGAAGAACCCAGAACTGGACACAGCATTCCAGGTGTGGCTTCACCAGTGCTGGAAGGATCACCTCTTTTGACCTGCTGGCAAGTTTTCCTAATATGGCCCAGGGTGTTGTTGGCCTTGTTTGCTGCAAGGGCATATTGCTGGCTTATGTTCAGCTTGTCCACCAGGACCCCCACGTCCATCTCTGCAGAGCTGCTTTCCAGCCAGTCAGTCTCTGGCCTGTACTGGTGCAGGGGGTTATTCCATTTACCTAATCCATATGTCATCAGTGTGTTGGTAAAGATGTTATGGGACACAGCACTGAAAGACTTAACAATATCCTGTGCTCTCCCCTTGCCCACCAAGCCAGTCATCTTGTAGCAGGCTGTCAGGTTGCTTAGACATGATTTCCCCTTCATAAATCTTTGTTGCCTAGCCCAAATCACCCTTCTTGTCCTTAATATGTTTGGAAATAGCTTCAAGGTTCTGCCATCTTCCCTGCAATTGAGGTGAGGCCTGTAGTTTCCCAGGTTGTCCTTCTAACCCTTCTTGAATATAGGAGTGACATTTGCTTTTCTCCAGTCCTCAGGAATATTGCCCAGTTGCCATAACCTTTCAAAGTTATTGGGTGGTCTCAATGACATCATCTAGCTCCTGCAGCACTTGTGAGTGCAACTCATTAGGCTCCATGGACTCAGGTATGTCTAGTTTATTTAAATGTTTCCTAACCTGGTTCTCTTCCAGGTGAGGTCTTCCTTGCTCAAGGCTTTTCCCGTGTGTCTCAGGAGCCTGGGATTCCTGAAAGCAAATTTACCAGTAAAGACTGAGGTGAAAACTACATTGAGCACCTCAGCCTTTTCCCTGTCCTTTGTCACCAAGTTCCCAACCCCATTCAGCAGCAGACCTACATGCTCCATATTTTCCTTTTAATGATGAACCTGCAGAAGCCTTTCTTGTTGCTCTTCACATCCCTCACCAGATTCAACTCTAGATGGTTTTGGCTTTCCTAACTCTGTCCCTACATACTCAGTGTCTTTATAGCCTTCCTCTCCTGGGTCACCTGATCTTCCTTGCTTTTCTTATATGCTTCCTTTTTACATTTGAGCATTGTCAGGAGCTAATTGTTCATTTGTGAAGGCCTCCTGCCATTCTTGGTTGACTTCCTGCATGTGACATGGATCATTTTTGAACTTGAAGTGATCCTTGAAAACCAATCAGCTCTCCTGGACCACTGTTCTCTCCATGTCTGTCTCCCATGGGGTTCTTCCAGGCAGGCCCCCTATCAGGCCAAAGCCTGCTCTCCTGAAGCTCAGGGTTATGATCTGCTTTGTACCTTTCTTCCTGCTGTCGTGATCCTGTACTACACCATCTCATGGTCACTGCAGTCAAGGCTGACCCTGAGTTTCACATCCCCAACCAGTTTTTTCTTGTTTGTATGTATGCGGTCCCACAGCATGTCTCTCCTCATCGGTTCCTCCACAGTTTCTCATGTTGGGAAATTATCATCAATGCACTCCAGAAATCTCTTGGACTGATTGTGTCCTGCTGTGTTGTCTGTCCAGCAGATATCAGCTTGGTTGGAGTCTCCTGTGAGGACTATGACCTGTGAACAGGAGGTTTCTTCCATCTGTCTGACTGCTGTACTCATGTAATTCTTCCTGATCAAGTGGTCTGTAGCAGACACCCACCCAAATGTTGCCCATCTTGAAATCTCCACCAGATCTTGACTGGCTCATTGTCCATCCCTAGGCAGACCCCCATGCAGTCCTGCTGTTCTCTTGCGTAAAGGACCACTGCCCTGCCTCACCTTCCTGGTCTGTCCTTCCTAAAGAGCCTGTCCTCATCTACCTCAGCACTTCAATCATGTGAGCTCCCCCACCACACCTCTGTGATCCCAATGAGATCACAGTCCTGTAACTGCACACAGCCTTCTAATTCCTCCTGTTTGTTCTCCATGCATCATGCCATAGCATACAGGTGCCTCAGAGAGGCACCCACTCATGCTGATTTCCTAGAAGAGATATGAGAGCTTCTCCCCATAATGCTGCCCTTTCGGCACTTCCTTATTCATGTATATCCACTTGGAGTGGATCTGCTGTAGCCCCATCTTCTTTTCAAGATCTCTCTTGTCTACTGTTGCTTGCTAACTCAGTCCACCTTCCTCCCTTGACTGTGGATTTTCATCTCCTTCCCCCCATCATTCCTAGTTTAAAGGTCTCCTGACCAGGTTAGCCAGCCTATCTGAAAAGATGTTTTTGCCCCAATTGTTCAAGTGGATCCGTCCTAGGAGTTGATCCTCAAAGAGAGTCCCACTGGTCTTAAAACCCAAATCCCTGTTGTCAACACCAGGGTCTACACTCAGGTTGCTTGAGTGCTTCACTAGACATAGCAGGGCTCCCAGCCCATCTGCAACTAGGGCACTGTAGCTGCAGATCTGCAGGTGGAGCAGAAGCCTTCCTCCTCTGAATGTGAGTAGTTGCAAGCTTCTAGCCTTCACCATCGTGGCACTTGCTTTCCCAACCCAATAAGCAGAGACTCTGACTGCCACTGCTTTGGTACATTTTGGGGTTCAGGCTTTTGTATCTGAGATACCTTATGTTATGTCTTAGGGAAGATCCACTCAATATTCTTTTGGTCATCTCTGATACTACACAATCTGCAGACCTCCTCATGCTGTGTAAAACACAGACCCTCTACCAGTGCACACCTCCTGCAGGCTAAAAGGCCATCTCCCACGGCCCCAGCCCAGGCAAGAGGCCCCATCATCCCTGCAATCCCAGGTCTACAAAGCTGCATACTCCCTTGGGAGCTTAGTCTGGGTTAAGACCAGTGATGTGCCAGGGTTGTTGTTCCAGTTGCTGCTAGGGACTGCGCCCTGTGGAGCGTCACCACCACTGCAGACACCATGTTCACTAACGTTAGCAAGGGTTTCTGGACCTCTTCTGTGCATGGTGCTGCACAAACTGCTGCATCTGTTGGCTGCCTCTGTTAGCTGTGCTCATAGAAACTGAAGTGTGAAAATGATGCTGCTCTACAAACACAAGGAGGCAGGGAGTATAGGAAGAATTTAACATAGGAAGACTTGCTCACATTTGGTTTAGAGACCTTTAAAATTATTTGTAATTGTTTTTAAGGACTTTTGAAATTGGCTATGAGGACAGTCTAACTCCAATATATTTTCCCTTAATCTTCCCATCTTTTCCCTGACAAGACTAACATTTATAAGTACATCTAGTGTTTTTCAGCTATAGTGCTTTTCCAGTGTTTCACCAGGGAATGTCTTATCTCCATCTTATAAATGATGAACTGGGCTTCTTCAGAGAGAATAAGTAACATGACAGAGGTCATAAACCCTTGTTTTGCCTGTAAGATATTAGCGGCACACAAGTGATGGTTTCCTTCATGTTGACATCTTTACTCTGTTAGTTGTGTTCAGATATTTGCTACTTATTGGAGGATTGAAAATGTGAAAATGCTGTTCTTACAGAGGAGCAAGAAACAATTGTGTACAGCAATAACACAGTATCTATTGCTGTCTTTACCCTAGAGGAGAACAAGAACTCATGAGTGGTGAAACTTCTTTATGGAGACTTCCTGTGAATTGGGTGTAGACCTTCAAAGGGCAGTCTGCTAAATGATAATGACCATAATGGTGCTAAGTTCTCAGTATTAACACAGAGACTGAGGGAACAACTGCTGAACTCCGATCTTCACAGCAGAAAGCCAAGGTGGAAAGGATCCGCATATAAAAATATCAGTGGGAGTCACCATTCTCTCTCAGACCTACTTTGTTCTCATGAAATATATCTTCTCCTTTTTTTAGAGCCAAAAATGATCAAATTTAATTGTAACTGCAAATAACAGTACTGAAGACACTAATTCTCCTCACACTGGATCCATTAATCTATGAACTTTCAGCTGAAGTACCTATCCTTAGTGTGTGGTAAAGGAAGACTCTTGCTTAGACTAAGCAAGCCACAGAAAGAAAGACATCCTTAGAAAAAATCTGGAAAATAAAATATCTCTGAGAAACATTACAGTGGTAATTACTGAACCCAAGACACTTGTGTATCACTGTTTATCAGCAGAGGCCTGAAAAAACAAGCATCAGTTATGTCACACACTTTGCAATATTTGACTGTGTCTGTTCCTACATAGTGAAATAAATTAATTTTACAGATGCTTCAAGAGAAGGGGGAAGGGGAGGCAGGAGGAAGAATATCAGCTGCACTTGCCCTAGGGCTTTTGGCTTTTTCACTTTGTGTGAGTGGTGCAACTGGAATCTGCTGTGTCTCATCAAACAAATGGCTCGAAGCAAGTAGGCAGTTTAACTTGATTTACCCAAGATGAATGTCACAAGTCTTACAGATCACAGAGGATTAGAGCTTGTGAGATGAACAGTGGCAGGCCTGGCTCGTTATGGATGTCAGTGGAAGTCTGTGCCTGTGGGTCCTATCAGGGACTGCTGTTTAATAGCTATTTTTTTATCCGTTCATTGTTTTTGTGTGAAAAAACAAGTCCCATCCCATTTTTTTCTGATTTGTGAAGGAAGGTGTTTCCCACAAGTGCTCTAAAACTTTGCTACAGCAAAGAAAGAGATCCTGAACAGATGTAAGAGATACAGCTAAAAATGTTCACAGTGGCTTGTCTTTAGATACCTGATTTGAGCAGGTTTGGACCTAGAGACCAGTAAAAGTGAAATCTTGAACATACCAGGTACAGGGCTAGTTTAGACAGTGGAAAGTTGTAGTGGATAGGAGCTGGTTTCATATGAAAGAGATAGGGGTATTCAAAATATTATATATGGTATGCTACAGCAGAGAAAGTGATATCTGATTCATGGTGTATACACGAGTTAAGACAGTTTCCCCACCACACGGAGCATGACCCTTAAAGAAGAGCTGGTTGTAATGAAGAAGGTTAGAAAAGGAAGTGAAGAGGTATTTGCAGCATGAAGAACAGAGCAGTACTGTGATCCCTAAGTTGGCTACAGAACCAGAAACCTTATCACAGACTGGGAGAAAGGGGAGTGTGAAAGGTAAAATTCCTCAGAAGTTGGCATGTAGAACAAAAAAAGTAAGGCAACACTGAGGGCAGGCAACAGACAGTGTTTGGTTCCTCTGGTTGTAACAGAAGAACTCCAGTAATAAAAAAAACAAAACAAAACAAAACCAAAATGGCATAAGAAAAGTCTAGGCTTCAATAACTCAGCAGTCTCTGAATTTCCAGTCAAGGAAAGATCTTATACAAATTCTGCTTGTGGTCCATCTAATCCTCTAGAAGCATTTTTTTTTTTCTAAAATTTGCCTTTTATCTTCAATGTGAAAGCTGTTTTTGCCAAATGTATCATATCACATTATTTCCACTGAACATTGCAGTGTGGCACTACATTTCCTGTTTTCAAATTTTATTAGATTGGAGTTGTGGAGCACTATCACGTATATAACAGATCCTTAAAATTGCTTAGATGTTGCATAAGATAATTCTAAATATCGCTGCTGTAAGACAATTGACTATAATTTGTGCAGTTATTGTATTGGTTTCGTATTAGTACATATGAAGTGGAATTGTACATAAATCACAACTTGTTATAGGGAGATGATAGTTTAATTTTCTACAGAAGGTACTGGATTATGGAATGGATTATTTTTTGTGGTGAGGAGCGGTTTGGCCAGATTCAGTGTCTGAATTTTAGCAAGTAACTCCAGAGTGTGGGCAAGAGAGTTCTGTGGTCCCCCGCTGCACTGAAAACACTCTTGTTAAGTCAGTCATATGTCAGAGATGAAAGAACAAAATACCAGAGAGTCCCCGAAAACAGTGGCAAGAACAGTGCCCTGCCACTGTCCATGCCGTTCTTTTCTTCTGGGTAGGCAAAGGGAGAACTGTGATTTTTAAATTGTTGGGAGGTGCGCAAGACTAATTATTTTCTAATTTGAATAAAAGATAAAAAATGAGAAAAAACGAGGTAAAATTTTATTAAAAATGAGATCCTATGTTACAGCCAGTTAGTCAAGAGCTGTTGACTGGTCCCAGCCTCTAATGTTTTCTGATTTTGTGACAATTTGTTTCTGCTTCCTGAATTAGTTAAAAATTACTATTTTGCCCTTAATACAGGTGACTCACTGGCACAGTCCGTACTTTTTTGCCTACTTCCCTGCAGCCTCTTCCTTCCCAGCGCTTCTTGCGGATATGTTATGTGGTGGAATAGGATGTGTGGGCTTCTCTTGGGTAAGTTTACTGGGGTATGCACTGCTATGTGGTAATGGTGCTTCACCTTGCCAAGATTTTAAGCATTTCAGTAACATTCTTCAATAAAATTATTGATTAATAGCAGTGAAGTCCCAGGACTATCTTTATAGGTAAATTTCCTTGACTAATTAAGAGTTTTCACATAGACACTCTAAATATCTCCAGGAATAAAAGGCTATTTCCTCTTAGAAGTTTTCCCCTTGAAAAATTGCCAGTATTTAGAATTAGTGGTAGAAGTGCAAACTTACTGGTAATTCATTAAGTAGTATGACTGTTGCCTATCACCCAGTGTTGTTACTTCTCTTATCATCTGTGTTAAAAAAGTCCACATTCATATGAGATGGGCTCTTATCAAAAGAGGTTGGTATTTAATGTCAAAAAAAAAAATACACAACATGCACATCCTAGCTTTGATGTTTGACAGTCATGGTTCCATGTGAAGCCTAGTTTGTAATTTTTTTAGTGAGTATTAGAAACAACATGCACAAAATGGTCTTCAGTTCCCTAATTTAGCTGATGAAGTTAGTCAGGTAGTCTCTTCCTCTGTTGTCAAAAGACAGAGACAGAAAGAGTTATTCTTGCTCTTGTAGATCCTATTTCTCTTCATGGTCTAGTGAGGTTATTCGCTCTGTTCTATTTTTCAACACAGGCCGCAAGTCCAGCCTGCACAGAGCTGGAGACTGTCATGCTGGATTGGCTGGGGAAGATGATTAATTTGCCTGGAGAGTTTTTAGCTGGGAAGGATGGCCAAGGTGGAGGAGTCATTCAGGTAAGAGGGGACATGAAAAAAGAATAGGGAATGAGTTTGTGAACCTTATTATTTTGTAAAATCTTCATACCGAAACACTAATAAAGGAAAGATATATTTTTTTCTGCCACATGGATTACTTTCAGATTTTCAGAAAGACCGATACTTTCTCTGTGAGACTGTCCAGAGGTGGATAGGATCATTCATGAAAGTAATGGGCTTGTTTTCAGAACAGCTGAATTCTGAAACACTCTTTGCTGAAGAATTGCTAGTAGTTCAATTTAACAGCACAATTTGGGCTTAAAATTTAAATAATAATGTTGAAAAATCATGTAGGATAGAAACTTTAATTTGTTGATCAAGTGAAGTGAGCTCATACTTACCAACAATGTGCAACAATGTTTCATGGCTGAAAATAGAAAAAAAAACCCTTCTCAAATAGAAATATATCTGAGGATTTTGAGTAGAGCATCATGAAAAGTGGTTACAAAGGCTTCCTCAGGTCTACTTTATACATGTGCAATTGTTCACTTCAGTCAGTTTCCAAAAGAGCCTTCCTTTTTTTCAGAAAAAAAAAAACAGTATCAGAGCTCAAGCAATGGATAAGAACATTGGAGAGAATCTTCTATAAGTACAAATAACAGAATGTAGTAGAAAATCTATCAATCTTTGTCAAAAAAGTTGAAATTATTTGAAGAAGTTTTACTTATATAACAAAATGAAATATTTGAATATTATAATAAAATGAAGAGCTTCTTAAAATTTGAACCTAAACAGATAATATAATTTTCAGACTACACTGCAGTATCCAAAATAGAACAAAACCCCCAGACTTTGATGTTGGCTTAATGAAAGACTACAATGTCTGAACAGAGTATCTGTATGATAATGAATATATCATCAATCAGCAAACTTGCATGCATAATAAAGATGTATTGTTTGTCAGCCATGGCTCCACTAACTCATGGTCTTTTTGAAAATGCAGACTCTGGTCACAGCTATTAATCTAACTAAAATAGTTCTCTACTGTGAAAAAGACCCAATTCTAAATAATTGTTTTATCTTCCTTTGATAATCTCCACAGTCTGGTCATTGGAGGCCAGGGCACAATCCATTTTATCCTAAGATACACTTCTAAAATACATATGAATTACATGCTAGAATTGGGAGCTTCTTTCTTTCATCTCAGCTGCCAATGCCTACAACATATTCCAATGAATTCTTCCTAACATCGTCCCAGGCAAGTATGAATTTAAACCAACTGCTATGATTCTCCTAGGCAGAGCTGCACCTACACCAGTGTATTTCCAGTACAACTCTTTACTCATCTGTTTGCTCTGTTAGGATCTCTATCATTATGATTACTGGGGAGGGGGTTATATTCAAGAAATCAAGCTTTCATCATGCATCTCAGAGTATTTATTTTGTACCAGTGAAAGCAAGCAATTATGCCTGATAGTTATCAGCAGGAAATATTGCCTTTCCAGGCTGACAATTCTGGTTTGCCCATAATTTTCATCAGAAACCAGTCAGTTTCAAGAATCAAAAGTGGGCTCTGTGTTCCTGCTTACGATGAAGTCATTTGTGCTGCAGATCTTCTTGTCTTGCTCTTGAAACAATAATGATACAAATAAGAGAGCGTGAGGGAAAGACAACACGAGCGTGTGAAAGTGCCAGTCATTTTCTTGGTAAATACCAAGTAATTATTGTGGTATTGGGTAAAACTGAGCCTGTGAAAACTGACTCTTAATTACATTTGAAAGTCTATGTCAATATGAAGCACTTTGTTGTTGTGTGCAGGATGACACTTGAAAATGGCAAAAGATGAAAGAAAATTTCAGTTCAGAGCTCTGGTGGACATGAACATCAGCTCTTGCTGATATTTCTTCCGCCTATTGAGCCTGCTTGCCATGGCAACCTTTGTTTGCTTGCAGTAAAAGGAAAGGTATCATCATCCTTCACTTAATGCAGAATACAGCATTCAAGATGAGAAAAAAAAAACAGCTTTTAAAAATAAGTGAGAAAGCAACTTTCTTCCTGAAGCTTGTATCCTGCTGTTCATTCTAGATAAACTGCTGAAAACTGTACCTACTTTGAATTTTAAAGAGTTTTCTTGCTCTGCAAAGAAGTATTTTAATGGTGAAACAAAATGAAACTCATCCTATCTTCAGCCTGGCAAGGAACACTGATGATTTATGTTTCTTACCGGTTAGACAAGTACTTCAAGAACCAAGGGGGTTTTTCCACAAAAATATTTAGCACAAGACTTCAGTGACAAGTGAATAGAAGAGCCTTACAAACCAGGTTCTGCAAGCACCGTAAGCTTCAGAATAGAAAAGGTGACTTGTGGAAGCTGAGGCAAGGTAAAAAAGCCTACATCTATCATGAGACATCCAAAAGCATTTCCCAGTTGCTGGATTCAGGTAACTTTAGGCTATGTCCCAGATGTATATCAGAAGGCTACAGGCCCTTTCCTTTTCATCCTTGTTTCTGTGTAAGGAAATTCATACAAGAACTGTTGTATACACCGACTATGCGCCAGCCTGGATGGACAGCCAGGATGCCAGGACATCTTGTGGCACCCCTCAGAAGGCTGAATCTATTCTTGAGCCTAAGTCATTTGCCCACCCAGCCAGGCAATCTCCAGAATAGTGGGGGCTTAAATTTCCAGATCTCAAATTAATGCCTTAACCTTTGGAATTTCCTGCAGCCTTTTCTCTTCTGTATATTTCTGTGCATTTCTGCACTGTGCATATTCCTTACATGTCCTAGAAAGACACTCACAGTTTTACAGGGCCTTATCATTAAAAAAAAAAAAAAAAAAAAAAAAAAAAAAAATGGAAGGGAAAAAAAGCCATTTTCTCCACACATATTTGAAAGATTTTATTGTATTCCCTTAAATATATATTTTAATAAAAATAATAATTAGTATTATTTCCCGTATATTAAATGCAAGGGTGCTGGAGCTAACTTTGCTGTGAAGAACCCAGTTTTAGAAAGGTTATTTTCAATGACTTGCCTGATGAGGAATGGAATTAGATCTTGCACACAGGCTTTATGTTGCCCAACTTCATTATGAGGACATACAACTTACCTGAAAAACTGTATGAACATCACAATAAGTTGCAGTGGTTTGCACAAATGAAAAGTATTCTCATCTGCTGAACTGCTGGAAAGGGTATTCCAGGCAACATTGTCTGATAATATATGCCCATTATGCAGGTCTTCTGATTATGCATGGTTCTTCAGAAGATTATATACTGCTTCTAAAAAAAAAATAGGAAAAAACCCACCACTTCATAAAATAGGTGATGTTTTTGACTGTAAAACATTCCTCACATCTGCTGGACACCCAGGACCCAAGTCATTGTATTCTAGCTCACAGGACTGTCAGGAAGTGCAGGCGTTTTTTTTCATTGTTACTTAGATAATATTGTACTGAGCATGACAGAAATAGTTTTGCTAATGGAGAATGATGACAGGGGTCTACATTCCTCAAATTCAACACCACCAGAAAGGCAGATAAAATATATTCATCATGGCTATACATTTAATAAATGTTTAGGGACTATTCTTTTTCCTGCTTACCCCATTCGTGTGGCTGTTGAATTTCAGCTGGGTTGAGTCCACTCACTTTTGTGATGTTGACATGTGTAGAAGGAAGCTTTGTCTCATATAAATAGCTCAGCTAACTTCAGTATCAGGAGAAAGTCTGAGTTCACTGTAATCATTCTCATGTATGGATTCTGTAGGATCAGGCACACTTCCAGGGAAGAAAGACTTTAAACATTTGTTGTAATTAATAAGTATAGACAGGTCTTCAACAGAGGGAGAACAGAATTTTGGTACAGGGTAAGAAACATCACTCCAAAATTAGCTTGTAGACACTGGGGATACCTGAGACATACTTAATAATAGAAGCAACTGTATTAATTGCACTGATATGTGCTTGACAGAGGAAGATTCACATGACAATTGTTAAACTTTGAAAGTACCTAAAAACTTGATCTTGCGTATGGATACCCAAAACCATTGACATTTATGAACACGTGTTTAGAAACTGTTACTTACAGTTTAAAAGAACAGTTTAGAGCATGTTTCATCTGCCTGTTCTAGAGGAAAATCATAAAAAGAATTTGTGGGAACTTGTATTCTTTTGTGAAATTTATAGATTGATACAAAAAATTCCCCTCTTTGTTGTCACAGAATGTCTAAGACACAATTTGAACTCATGTTTTGTGAGTCAAAGTGCAATTTAGAAATAATGTATGACTGTTTTTTTCATCTGTGTGTTTTTGATGAAGAAAACACACATAACTAATACTCTGAAATGTAGTTACCTATATTGAATCATAGCTTTTTTTCTTCTTCAGTGTTTTATCTCTTTTTGCCACAATAATTGACTTGCCCAGGGTAACTCTAAATATTAAATAAGTGTTATAATTATGCATGTTGCTTGATAGAAATGAGAGCTGATAGTCAATTTCTGATGGAAGTTAAATGTGTTGAAATCGGGAGTAACAGACATCAACAGTTCCTCTGCTATGTTACTGGTTAACAAATGATTGGTGCCTCGTTCAAGAGCCTTTTCACGTGTGTTTAAGACTGTGAGTCCAGCTTATTAGCACTGATTGCAAGGCTGGTGCCTAAACTGAAGAAGCATGGAGATTTAAGAGAGCAGAGACACCAGGAAGGAGGAAACCAAGATCAAATAGAGATTCCTCCCTTGCTGTCACACATATTCTTAAAAAGCGTGAGATTGCACAGTTTCTCGTATGCGGTTTCTGTTAACAACTCGCAGATTCATACAGAAGAAAATGTTCCTTTTCTTCTTCTGTAATGTCTTCCTTTTGAACCTTCCTTCAATTTATCCCATAGGGAAGTGCAAGTGAGGCCACACTGATTTCACTGCTTGCTGCAAGAACAAAAACTATCAGACGAGTGCAGTCAGAAAAGCCTGAGCTAACAGAAGCAGACATCATGGGCAGGCTGGTGGCCTATGCTTCTGATCAGGTGAGTACCTCTCAAAAATGTGGAAACATGGGGTCTATACTGAACAATTTTAGCCATCTCAATAGTCAGGTGAGCTAAGTATACACTCTTTGGATTGGTGACTATTTGGTTTTGCTTGTTTAAATCTTATGGTAAATCATAAATGGGCTGGAATTTCATGTATTCTACCTTAATACAAAGAATAAATATCCAGAGGCCAGTGTTAGGTAAGTTTTGCTTCTTTACAAAAAGAGCTCATTTGAAGTAAATAAAAATACTGGAGTAAGGTGTTAATTTCAGTTGTATCGAGTTGTATTCAGTTATCTTTTGTTACTTCTAGGCTTGTGTATCCATGGGAGCGCACAATATTTTCCTCCTACATATACATGTGCAAACAAACACACATGCATCTTCTTCCTGTATGCACACATGGGTGCAGGTGCATGCACACAGACCAACCTAGTGCGTGAAAATAAAGCAAATTGGTCATAGTACTTGAAGAAGACCAAAACATTGTATTTTTTTTTAAAGAAATAAACTCCTAAGATCTCCATGTATCAATCCAGCTAAGAAATCTCATAAGAAAACAGAAAATATAATCCTTGATTTCTGACTGTGAGTGGTATTTAACAGACTGCGTAAGACTAAATTCTCAGCAGGCCAGGACCATGAGAGGCTTTTAGTGTTAATGAAAGCAAATTTTAGTCTTCTGTGTTCTGCTGCTCCTACCTTTCAGACACACTAAACCTACTGAAGAGCCAAGCAATGTTGTTTCTCTTGATAGCCGTGACATTTTCATATCTAACTGTCAATGAGATAGAAGAAATTTCCTTGGTACTTGATGTTTAGTTTAAAGTAATACCTGATTATGCAGAAAAAAATTGACAGATCTCAGGATTACCTTGATTTGCTATTAAGTGTATGTTAAAAAGTGCTGGAGAACAAGTTAAAAGTACACTTGCTCTTTGCTGGTGGGAAGAGGGACTACATTTGTAGGGTGAGAAGAGTCGGGAAAAGAAAATATGAGGAAATATATCTGTTTTCAAAAGACATGAAGGATATTTGTCCTTTTTTTGTCTGGGAGCCTAAGGTCTGTATTGCATAGACCACCAGTCCCAGAGCTCAAACTCTGACCCAGTGATGCACAAAGCCTTTTACTTGTTTTCATTTTTTGTCCAAAGTAAGTGGCTGACCTGAAATGAGGACTGACAGGCCTTCCTGCTTACTGAAGGTCAGAGGGTCTTATGTTTACAGAAGGATTTGCCTTAAGATATTGCTGACCTTTCAAAGCAGATTGTTGCAGAGCTCACTGGTCCTTTTGCATTAAGAACAGACCTGTGTGACTCATAGGCAGTAATCCACAAAAGAAAGTAAACCTAAGCCATTCTGTGGGAGAGAAAACCATGCACTGACAGAGCACAACACTCCAAGAATACATTAGGAAAGAGGTAAAAATTTTACCAGTAAGGAGACCCAGAGCACAAAGCTGAACTCAGATTTCATATATGTTGGGAGATCATTTTAGCTTCTAGGCATTTGGGGAAAATCTTTATCCCATTGAAATAATTTTGCTTTGTGTTAATGAGTACAAAGGAGGACTGGCAACAAATCTTCCCCCAATAACTAGGTGGGGGGTTGGAGACAACAGAAGATGATTCCTGTCTGCTTTAGTGCCTGAGCTATCCTGGCTGAGGCTCCTCTTTCAGGGGACACTGAATGTGAGACCTCGGAGCTGAGGGGAACATCTAGGTACCCCTGACAGTAGACACCTGACTGCCTGGGACCAGGACAGAAGTCAGGGTAGTTCTCTGACATTCTCAGGCCATTTCTTTCATCAGCCTTTTTTTGCCATGTTTGTTTGGGTACCTTAAGCAGCTGCCCACTCATTTCACTGATTTCTGTTTGGTTCCTTGCTCTCCTCAAGGGTGGTGGAAGATTCCCGAGTACTTTGCTAAGGACTAGGAATTCCATGGAGCAGCACATTACTAAAGATTTGTTATAATGCAAAAGCATCTTGACAGTTTTAACCTTAAGATTGTGAGTGACTGTAGTTGTCAGAGAGCCTTACTACAATTCTGGAGACTTGAGGAAGCAATTCAGAGGTTCTTACTGGTTAACAACCTCAGTGTATTATTAAAGTTTGCTTATTTGCAATTCTTGTATAAACCAGTTATAAAATACCTCTTTCCATTGTACATTTGAATGAGGTATGGTATTGCTGTGATACACACATTGTTTACCACTCCAAAAGTTGTATTTCAAGTCTAGACTTCCAAATTTTCTCAAGTTGGTGCTTAATTAGTCTACCAAAATACTTTAATAAGTAATGAGATAAAAGTTAATAACAAAGCTGCCTTTAAAAAATGTCATTCCAGGGCTACGTGAAGTTGAAAGGCAAAAACTTTATCTTCATCTGGTCTTGTTCAATCTATGTTTTGGCTTAATCTTTTCCATGATTATATGCTAAGTTAGAATAGAATTAGTAAGTGCTCTTGTAGGCACTAGGAAGAACCAACAAGGGCGGAATGGAGATTATGAATGAGAATATTCAAGTTATGAAAAGCTGAGGAATTTTTCTCTTTCAAATTAATGACAATTAATGAAATTTTAGAAGGTGGAAGGTAAAAAAGCTTTTTAGTCATGCTCAACGGAGAGCATTTTGTGGCTAAACACCTTTTACTGTTAACAGAGTTATTATATTGTACTTCACAAATTTATAAGAATTTCTTAGTGATATCTTTGTTTTTATTTACCGAGATGTGCTTTATGTTCTAAAAAATACTATTTAAGGGGAAATCAAATATAGTGGGTTATAAATAAAACAACGAATTGAGAATGATCCTTAATTGCCTAATAAAATGAATGAATGAACCACAATTTAGTCAGTAGGTAATCTAAAAAAGAATGGTTATGTAAGAAAATAACTCAGTCTATGCCATACCATGACATATATTTTTTTAGAGCTCAGCAAAGCTGTACGCCATAAAAATATGCTAGTGAGCAACTGAATCATTATCAGGCAAGCTGATTATCTGCATGTCTTTTGGTTGATTTAGAGCCAAATCCTGAAGCTCTTAATCAACCCTACCTAACTGTGAACATGTTAATTAAAGCTCTCACTAAGGTTAATTGAACTCTTGTCTGAATGACGCCATGGCAATGGTCTCAAGAATACTTCAGGGTTTCTATTAGTGTATTGTGTGTGTGTGTCTATGCATGTATATATATTTATGTGTCTATATCTGTATGTCTGTCTATATGAAAGAGGGAGGTGTACATATCTGTTACATACCAGCAACAATCCCAGGATCTCAAGTATTGCTTTACTTGAAATAATTTTTTTTTTTCTTTTTAAATTCAAATTAACTTCTTACGTTCCAATATAAAGGCATCTGTCTTAAAACTTGCCAATTTCCTTGCAGGCTCATTCATCAGTGGAAAGGGCTGCATTAATTGGTGGTGTGAAGATTAAAAATGTTTCTTCAGATGATACGTTTAGTGTTTGTGGTTCAGCCCTAAAGAAAGTTGTGGATGAAGACAAAGCTTCTGGTCTTATTCCCTTCTTTGTGAGTACTGGATTTTAACTAATCAGTGTATTTATTGCTTCTGATAAGCTGTTTTTGACATGAGTAGATGATCTCAACACTAACAGAGGGACCGATAGGCAGCCTAGCTAGAATACTAGGACAGGTTCCATGAGAGTTCTTCACACACCTCTCTGTGCAGGAGGAGCAACTAATTTGAGCAGCTGGTTGCACTTCTCAGCAAAAAAATGATGTTTTAAAAGGACTTCAAGTTATATTAGCCTGATGAATAAATGGAGGAGAATTTTGTAGTTGCATGTAATCCTGCAGTGTTATAATCTCCTAACTGAATTCTGGACTGCCTCTTTTACAAAGGTATACCTTTATTTTTAATTGATTTATTTACTTACACATAAAACAAGTTTCAAAGCAATAAATTAAATGACGGTATGTCAAACAAGTATTTCCAAGAAACAATAGTTTCCCCTTCTTATTTCTTTAGCAAATAAATAAACCTCCATAATATATTCCAAATCTCATCAAGATCAGAGATTGTCAGAGAGGTATTTGTGAGTATGTGACTTATCTCTAACAGGTGAGCTATAGGGAATCCAGCTGTGGAAGCTTTAGGTTTCATCATTTCTTGTTATCTGTCCATATTCTTTTCCAGAGATTCCTGCTTCCACAGCAGTCTAGCAAGAGCAAATGCATTTATATCTCAGTAACTAAAGCTCATAATGACCCAATTCTTGACACATAACAGTGTTAGAATGGATAAAATTCTTAAGTTTTGTTCTACTGTGATAAATACCTGATTGAAAAGAACATTTACTTATTCATCAAATCTACTCCTCCTGTCAATTCAGAACACCATCTTATTATTTCAAGTTAAAACAAGATTTTACCATTTATTTTTTCCATGGAGTAAGTAACCTGTTGTGTTACTCTGTTGTGTTTTTGTGTATCATTAACAAAATGTTTTGCTCATTTCCAAGCATTAGGCTTCTACAACACTTGATACAGACCATGGGCTGTATAGATCTATTAAGGGGTATAATATAGTACCAAGAATATGTTTTTACTGGCCTCTTCTGAAAAAAAATAGGAGGAAAAAAAAAAAAAACTATTTTAGAAATTGAGAACTTTAGAAATGGGAAGTTTTAAGAGAGTCAGAAATATGTCATGATTTTTTCAGAAGTCATGTCTGGCTTGATGGTTATTTCTTTTCTTTCACGTGGTAACACTTTGAAAAAGGCTAATGTGACTTCAATTTCTGTGAACTGTTTTCAGAAGAATTAGTAGATTAAGCTTGTTTATAGTTATGGTTAAGTGCCAAATGGGACAAAAAAATGTAAATTTCACCAAGCTCTTTTGAAAACGTAATCTTTTTACTCTTCTTGTTATTAACCTTTAGTGTCTGTTTTTATGTAGTATGAGGATTACTAGGGTGAAAAGTGGTTTTCATATGTGCAGAATGCTGCTAATTTCTAGCCTGCTTGGAACTAGTGAGACCAAGCAGATCCCATCAATTACTTTCCAATATAAGAAGACTATGACTGAGAAACAAAGCATCTCAAGGTCTCCCAAAATGAACTTTCTTCTGTGGGCTGCACCTATTGAAGTGGAGATGTGCCATAAAGCATGTTTTATTTTTCTATTATACACTATCATCTCATAACATCTTATATAGGATCCTATTTGTTTATCTCACTGTTAAACAACTACAAGTACAGCACTATATCACAACTCCATGCACTAACTACAAAGTTAATGCGTTTTTCTATCATCTTTTGTCCACTAACAAAAAAAAATGCAAGTTACCCCCATACTTTTTCATTCCTTATTAATTTTTCTACGAGGAAATAAAAAATTCTGTTTTATGTATTCAGTGACACCTTTACAAAGGGTGATTTAACTGTTGTTTTTCTTCCTCTGTTTGCTTAGCTGTGCAAAACAGGCTTTCAAAGGCAACAGAGGCTTGCTCTGAGTTAATATGGTCTGTACCAGGTCTTCCATTTATTTGTATACATAAAACATGTCAGCTTATATTAAACTAGATCTCATTATCCTTATGGTTGGCATCTTAACTCAAAAGGTGTGTTAATTCTCTGTCATGCTGAGCAGCAGTCCATGCACTGTATTAGTGCTCCCTTTGCTGGCTTGCAGATTTCAAAAGCCTTTCCATTTCTTTTGTTCTTGAGTAATTTGGTGCTATTTTATTTTGTTCTGGTGACAAAGATATGCATATTGCCAAGGAAACACCTTATGCCACTTTATTCCTTGTCTCTCTGTATTCACTGATCCTTCACTAAGGGGAGTGATTCAACATCAAAGGAAAAAAGTTTAAAGGAAGAAATTCTGCCTGAAGAGACTTTTGACAGCAGAGACATTATTCCTAATGAAGACATCTTGGATGCATCCGAGCTGATGCAGTCTCCCTTATCACCAAAAAAATAGTGTTTTGTAGGCGATTAAAAAGAAAATACATGCAAATTAAAATGCTTTATAGGCGTGATTTTCCTCTTATATTTAATGAATAGATGATATACTGAACTTGATAGAAGTGCTTTGCTTGTAGAGGTGAGTGGAGAATCAGGGGCGCATTTATTTGCTGTGAAACAAGTTATCTCGTTACAGCAATCTGGTAATTACAGGTTTGCCTTTCTCATACATAGGATCTGGCAGTCAGACTCTTTTTTGGGAGAGGCATTGTCTTTAAAATGAGTCTTTGAATTCCTATCTACCATCAATATCTTGATTATTAGCACTAGTAATGTGTATATCATTTTGTTCAGTGAAGGCTATCATCAGTTAGTGTACCCAGACCTCTAGTTTTGTTTCCTTTTTTTATTTCTCATTTCAGAATTGTGTTAATTTGTCTCTTCCAAAATACTTTTGCAGAAATTGAAACAGAGATATTTTCATACAGTAAAGCAAGCAGACTGTGCAAACAAAACACTTAAACGTGTCAGATGTTGAGGCACTAAAGTTGCCACAATTTACGAAGGAGTAATTTCCAAGTGCAGCTAGTATGCAGCCCTTCATCTGGCCACTGGTTAAGGGGGAGCTTTAAAGCATGTGCTGAAGTAATTTCCATTTCATTAATTATAAACACTAACCAGTGGTTAAGCACATGCATAAATGCCTTTCTCAGTTCGGCCCTATGCTCCCAGCTTGACACAGGCCTCTACGTTGGATGAATGTTGACCAGAGTCAACTGCATTCAAGCCTAGTTCACTTGAATCTGTTTAAGTGGCCTGTGAGCTTTATGCTGTCTTTCATAAATCAACACTGATCTATTGCAGCTGGCATATATATAGTACAATATACCTCGACAGCCTCATCCAGTATAAAGCTGCTATAATATAAGCAGCCTTGCTGCTGAACAAAGGCCCAGCGTGAAATCTCTCTAATGCTAGCTGAAATTACTCTTCTGACTTATGATCTGCAGGATATTAAGAAGCAGGCTGTTTGTATCTGGACTCACTCATGAAACAATAAATCAGAATTAGACTGACAGAGGAGCCGTCCTTTCAGTAAAAGTTAACACTTAAATCCTCACCACAGATTTCCACTTGGAAGAAGCATTCTTGAGACACGTACAGATGTCTAGGGCGATGTTTCTTAACCTGCAGTTTGTGAATGATTTTGTAAAATACTCGGTGGTGGTTTGGTAAACTGTTATAGTTTTCTTCAAGCCACAGACCTTATCATGAGTGCAAGCTGGCAAAAAACTGAGTAGGAGAAAATAAGAACAATAAGAAAACACTGAAAGTTCTGCCTCATTTTAGTTAATTGCAAACAAAAAGCTTTGTGGTGAAACTGTGCAAAATGTGTCCACATCTTTTTCAAAACCTGTACGAGGTCTTCCAGTTGAAAAGATTGATAGTCATTGCTCTCAGGCATCATAAAGATTCATGCATGTTTCCTGACATATCTCTTGATTTCTGGAAAGTAATACATGAGCTGACTGATGCAAGCATTTTAGCTGCTTTGTATTCACAGCCCGGGCTGAGTCAAATTTGAAGTGCACAACCTGAAAAGGATGAGGCCTGCAGGCTATACTGAGCCATCAGTCCTACTTCTGTGATGCAGCCCATCCTCCACCCTTTGCACAAATGTGATTTTGCTGGTGTAATACAGGTTACAAATTGAGTTAGATTCATTGTGTAGTACTGAGGCGGGGTAATGAGCGTCCTGACAAGAGCAGATGCTGTCACTTTAAGTGGTTTCTGAGAATTGAAACATGTAGCTTTGAGGCTTAGGCACCTGAAGAGAGGACAAAATTATTTTAGAAACTGAGATATACTTTAGAGAATAAACCATTATTTAAACTATGTTTGAACTCGTATAATCTCTCATTGAAGCAACATATTCCTTATCCTTACTAGGAGAATACTTTAACTGCAGTACAACACTAAAAACAATAATGTGTAACTTTTAATTGTGAAATCTCCATTGTTATTTTAATTGCTGGACTAGCCAAGATAATTTCACTCTAATCATGTCAGAAAGTCCACGCCATATTATAAAAAAATATATGTATAAAAACAGACTGAAGTCTGTACTCCACTCTTTATTTGGTTATTTCCCAATCCAATGGGTTAACTCCCATTCCTTATGATTATAGAAAAATTAGAATTTTCATCATGGTATCCTCCATTTCTTGTGATTCAATTTGTAGATCTGTAGTTCAGCCAAAGGTGAAAAGCAGGTTTCTTCTGATTGTGGGAACATCTTAGGTAGACAACAATGCAATAAATATATTTTCACTCCATACATGCATGTCCTCTCAGTAAAAAAAAGGAGCAAACTTACTCCTTTTTAAAAAAATATCCTGCAATCTTTTTAAACCAACCTGCCTCAAAGGATGATTGAACTTCCAGAGAAATCACAAACATACCTCAAGGCACTGTAATTATTCTGTTCTCATGTGTCTCGGGAATATGGGAAGGCCCAGTATAGATAAAGATTAGATTATTTTGAGGGAAAAATGTGTTAGTAGCAAAATTGTATTTAACTACATATTCAATGTGCTTCTCATTTTCAGAACTGTATTGGTTTCAAACTCAGGTTCTTAGTAGCTTGATACAGAAATAACACTGAATTGTCCTTTTCTTATTTCAATAATAACTTTTCTCATAGCTAATACATTTATTGGTATAATGAAGCATGACTATAATTATTAATACTCTGTAATTGTGAAGTTGGGTGAACATGTGCGCTGTCAGAGATAAAAGGTTTTCAGGGTTTTATATGACTACATTTAATCAGATCTGCCCTATACGAAGTCAGGATATGACTTCCTCTTAGAGTGTATATAAATTTATATCAATTGAGTACTACCTAAGTACTTTCCATTAAACAGAAAAATTCAGCTCCATACAACAATTTAAAATATCTCTGAGGTATATGGTATAATATAGATGCAGAAATGTTCAACAGTGTACTTAAAAGTGGTTCCTGTTTTTTTAATACATATCCACCTACCCTTTTTATTGGCTATTTATGTTAGTGTGGGGTTTTTTAGAAATTTTGAAAAATCTAGTTTAATAGGTAATAAAACAACTATCTCTCACTTTGCATGAATTCTCTAAAAACCTGGAACTTGCAAATGAAAATACCATCACATTTATCCAATTCTTTGTCTTACAATCAGATATTTTTTTTCCAAGATGCTAGGCCTTTCTAGTGTGCTGTTGCCACTTATTTCACAGAATGGAAAGACAAAAAAAAAAAAGCTTGATGGGAAATGTGAAAAGCAAAAATAAATAAACATGTTAAAAATTTATGAGAAGTTATTGGGAGGACTAGTTAAGGAACCCCCAGAGGGAAAGCCAAATCATAGTCCTGACTTAGTACTTAGTACAGGACCTGCTTCAAGATGTGACTGTAGATGATTTGTAGCGGTCTCCAATCTCCAACAGCTGGCAGAAGTGAAAAAGTCAATAAAATCTCTAGCCTGAGAGTGGGTGACAATTTATGAATAAGCATGAGTGTTCAAAGGAACAAATAAAAGGGTAAAATGTTAGTAGCTATCAACCAGTCTGCTTAATTAGAGCATAAATACTTAGTGCAAATGTGTATAACCTGTTAAAACGGAAGGGAAAAAGACCCTCCTGAAAAACCTGGCACTGTTTAACTTTTGAGTATTGGGAACTCCTAGAATTAACGAGATATCAATGAAATGCAGAGACAGCATGTGAATATCTGACCTAGAAGAACAGAAAAGAGCATACACTTGGCAAGTGAAACATGATCTTAGGCTAAAACAGGTTATAAGATTTTGGAAAACAATTCGCTGCTGGCATAATAACATGAAATTATTTTTCTCACAAGTAAAACGTTTGTTACGCTAGAGAGACACTAAAAGCTAAAGGCAGGTGAGGCCACATCAGGTGATGTAAATGCGAGCAAAATCCTTTGCTGCAGAAGTGGTCACTCACCCCATGACTGTACCAGCGCCGGCCACGCGGCCAGCCCGTCCCGCAGGCTGAATCCTGCAGCTGCACCCCTCAGCTGCGCAGCGGCGGCGTGGGCCCTCCTGCAGCACCTCCACAACTGAGGCAGCAGGGACAGCCTCGCATGCTGCTCGTCGGCGAGCACACTCTCTACTATAGCAGGAAAACCTACTGTACCGGATGGATTAAGCAGGCGCTTAAGGAATAAAAGATGTTACTTGGCATGGTGGATGAGCCAGGGAAGTCCAGCGCAGAGAAGGAACCACTGAAAACATTTCCTGATGGTATCACTCCTGCTGCAAGGGAGAGCGGTGAACCCGAAGGCCCTGCCCACCTACTCGTTATGGAGCTCTGAGACAAAAATGCACTGCATGGAGTTTTAATGTAGAAGCATATCTGTGTTTTGCTATGGCAGTCTGTTTGCTTCTTCTTAAAAGGTCTAGTGGATGGACAAGTATTATCGAGGTGTTCCTTTGCCTTCTTATAGGTCTTATCATGAATACACCGAGGGACGTGCACACAAACCCCCTCATAAAAATGTGGCTAGTTGCAGATATATAGGGAAGAACAGAGAACTCAAAAGATAGTGCACTGGCAGTGTATTTGGCAGAAAAAGTAACCATAAGTACAAAAATAGAAATCCAAAATTCTGGATTTTACATTTATAATTATCTCCTGACTGTACTATAGTTTGTGTATGACCTTGGATAAATGATCTAATTCCTTTGTACAAAATCCAGGATACTTTATTTGCCTATTTAAACTATAAAGTGTCTTTTATTATATAAAAATCCAGCACAAGGCAAAAACCAGACCCAGCCTTTATTAGTGCTTACAAAAGCGAGACAGGGTGTTAAAAAACATAAATATAGCAATGAAAAATAAAGCAATGACAGCCTATGCACTTGGTAGTTGTTTTTTTGGGGCTATAATTCTACCTGCATTTTCCCAGTAAATTACCATAGCTCATTTTCACATGGTTATATTATCTTTCTACTATGAAACTTCAGCATTTATGTTGCCTCTGCTTTTGGCCCACTGGTCAGGTAGCAGGATACATTAAATGAGACATTAACAGAATGAAGGAAGAATGGTTCCAGTATTTTAGAATGAATTTGGGAGAAAAATTTTCTCAGGGAACAAATCTTGAAAACCTAATAGTGCAAATATGCAACTAGTGAAGAGGTCCCAGGCTGCAGATCCAATGAGCACAAATCAGTTACAAGTCTCTGTTACAGAGCTGTGGCTCTTGAATTTAGGCAGTAATATTTTATGATCCGTTCTGTCAACAGGAATTCCAGCACCTTTAAGTTGCTCAGGTTCAGAGCTTGCTTCTATGCCATAAACTGCAAATCATTTTGATGGTAATTGTGAGGTTAATATTAGGCCACATGATAAGCATGTGGGACACATAGAAAATATATAAAATATAGCATTACTATAATACTGTGACTGTATTACATTACTTAGTCAATTTTATATTAACATTTGATTTTATGGATCTGTCTCAATGGATGCTTGTGGGAGTTTAGGAAAAAAAAAAGATTCTCGGAAGTTTTACTGAAGGATATGTATTGGCTAAAATAAATTTATTTTGCCCTATGTCATCTGTTTTCTCTGTTTACTGTTGACTGCAGACAGGTTTTTTAATTTGATAGTTTTCTTTGCTGTAACAATTGTTTTGCCTTTGTTTTTTCTGGCTCTGCAGTTCTGTGCAACGCTTGGAACCACACCTTGCTGCTCCTTTGACAAACTGTTAGAACTGGGTCCTATTTGTAAGTCTTTGCTGCTGCTTTCTAAAATTACAGATACCAGTTTAAACCACACTGAGTCATTTCCAGGGTATTGTGCAGTGTCAGTGTCCAAATTCAATAAGGCTACTTATAGATGAGACCTTCAGTTACAGTTTTCTTTCTCAAACTGTTAAAGAGTACAGAGGACATTGCCTCAAGGGTTTTTTTTTGGGGGGGGAAGCATATTTTGGAACACTTCCTGTTAAAAATTACTGTAAATGCTTCTGTTTGTACCATTTTTCTTCAAGCCCTTCTTCCTGCAAGTGCATCTAGAGTAATGGTGAAGATTAGGGAAAAGCTGAACTCTAATTCTTCTCTGCATAAAGTGTTTTCTTTCTGTCTGGTTCTAACAACTATAAAAAGCAGGGAAATATGCACCAAAAATCCACGTGTATTCTCCTTAATCCTTCCTCTCCCTTCCCTGATTTCCTCCCTTTTGCAAAAACACAGGACAAGTGCCAGGGTGTTTAATACAGTGACTGAGTCAGGCACTCACCGTAAGTATTTCTGTGTTATGGTCTGTTGTGTCAAGCTTTGATCTGCAGCAAGGTTTGGTCAAAAGAACACACTTGGTGGAGGACAAAACTGCAACAGAAGTGAACCGTATCCATTCAAGTGTACGTTTAGAACAGGAAATTTATAGCTATAAGCAGTTAGAAGCAGCCTCATAGAAACACAGCTAGATTTGATGTTCTGTTAATTTATTCAGGTTGGACCTAAAACATTTGGGGTCTGTGTGGTAGTGACTTGCTCCGTGAGGTTTCCTGCCCTTCAGCACAAGCCCCTGAGCTCCCAGTCCTCCTTTCTAAAAAGGTTTCTTGTAGTCTGTTTAGCAGCTAGAGATTATTTTGCTGTTCAGGTTACTCCTGTAGACCTGACCTTATAAAACAGCGACACCAGTACTTCTAGGTATAGCAACTAATCATGTGTGTTTCACCAGTTGCTCTCAATGATTTCCTGCTTGTGCAGCAGAGACCAGAAAGGGTGCACACTACTCAGATCACAAGTCTCATGCTAGGTTTTCTGTGTGCAGGTGAATTTTCTTCTTAATATACATGAGCAGTAGTCCTATGAAATAAAGGCAGTATCTCAAACTAAGTATATTTAAAAATAAATAATCAGTTGAACTTTGAACATGTTTTCAAATAAACATGTCGTGGATGTTACGAATAATATTTTATTAGCTTTTTTCCAGACATTTATGCAAAAAGAAAATGTAGTTCACAAGAATGCAAATTCCAGCATGGACTTGGTGCCCAGTTGCAGATGTGAATGGATATTCCTCTGTATGTGGAAATACCCATCAGAATTATTTGGTGACCAGTGTAAAGATGTTATGTGGGCTTCAGTCATCAACTCATAGACCTGTTACTCATAGAATTGTTACCATGTGCATTAATGCAGGTGACCTATAGTAGAGTGTGAATGCCAATTTACAGAGAATACATGAGAGGCTCGTGTGCTAAAATACTTCTGCAGAAACCGTTCAGTGACTAATCAAAGCTAGCACTTTCTTAACCTTTCAGAGTGCAAGTGCACTAATGCATTAGCGCAAGTCTCAGTCCTTGAAGTAGTTTGCTGCACATAGTTCAAAAGCATGCGCATGTACATGTATCGACATGTAAAAAATACTGTTTAGATATGTGTGTTTGTGATTCATGAGTTAGAAGTGAGGAGCACAGCTAGAACTCTAGCTCCTCTTGCTAAAGTAGATAGTTTTATTACTGTAGAAAAGGTAAGTACATCTCTAGATGCATCTTTTTAAGCTGTAATTTCTAATGGTTCTTAATTTACTATTTTATGTTGCTTAATATTAATAAGATAAACCTAGATATGTAAGAACTCTGTTCTAGTATAAGTGGGGAGGAAGAATATGTTGTGGATACATCTTTATGTGTTAATGGAAATCCAGATGGTAGAAACATTTAATCTCTTAATTTTAAATTGGGAAAATAACAACATCAAAGAAAAATCTCTCAGGCACTTGGTTTCATGCAAATTAATAGGGCTTTTTAGTCTGCTGTTTAATTTATTTCCTCTTCAATTACTTTTTTTTTTTTTTTTTTTTTTTTTTAGGTAATAAGGAAAATATCTGGATGCATATTGATGCAGCCTATGCTGGGAGTGCATTCATCTGCCCTGAATTCAGGCATCTTCTAAATGGAGTAGAGGTGACTGAAGTGTTTCTTCTCTAGCAGCCTGTTAAAACCTTGCTCTTCCATAGAATTTTTGTCTGTCTTATGCACCCAACATTAATGGCTCTTCTAGAATCTCTGAGTATGCTGCACTTCAGTTTACACTACAAATCCCTGTATATGCTATTACGTTACTTATGTGTATATAGGTTTTACTGTTTTATTCTGGGAGTATGCAAGTTACCACAGTATCTTAAAGTTTGTCATACAGATAGCAAGTAGTAGTGAATCAACAAAGTGTCTTACAAAACAGAAAAGAGGAACTTTTTCCCAAGTATCCAAAAAGGCACTTTTATAACACCATAATTCTACATTACACAAAAAAGAAAACAAAAGAAAAGAAAAGAAGTTCAACAAATTAATGAACTCGTTATGTTTTTTTTTTTTTTTTTTACTTACATCCTAAAAGTCATACAGAATACAGCCAGTAGCTGTATCTCAAACATACAGGGTTTAATAACTGAGAGAGCTAAATGAAATATTCCTCCAACAGCACTCTTGTTCCTTCCCTCCCCCCCTCACTGAGCTACTTGGCATTCAGTTGCTAAGATAAGAATACTTCAATTTCCTGCTGCTCCCCTCAGACAGTCTGATAAGCCCTTGTCTTCCACGTCAGTGGAGAAAATACTGCTGTTTGGTAAAGCCAGAAGTTTAAACACAGCACTGATAGGTAGTGACTAATGAAGAAGAGGAGGGAAAACCCCCTCACAAATAAAGCATTTCTTTCTGTCTTTTTTTATCAGCAAATGAAGCTTGTTGTAATTTCCTGTAGGGGAATATTTTTAAAATTATTGTTATTGGTTCCTGAAGGAAATGAAACAGCATATCTTGTCTGGGCCAGCATTTGTCATAAGAGTAAATATTTAACAACCATGAATAGGTTTCCTACCTTACATAGTGCAGGGAGATAGCTAGAGAGATGTATAGATACAGAGACAGACAGAGAATATTATGAGAGCCATCATTAATTGTTTACAACTGACAGGGAAGGTTATGAGAAGCAAATGAGAACAGGAAAGTGCTATATGGAGTAGTCAGACCCTGGTGCTACCAGGCCCCCATCTCTTTTTTTTTAAGGCTGATGGCTTCTGCCTTTGTTAAAACACAAACCACGGACGAAGCCTTTCGCACACGATGTCGGTCTTAACTACCTGGGCTTTCTCTGATGCCACACCTAAACATATGTCAAGTAAAACAGGCCTGTTACATGATTTATATAAGCATGTATTGTGAATACTTATTCTGTGTTGGTTTTTCTTTTGACTTTGATGAAAAAATTACTTCTGCTAAAAGAAAATACACTGGCAGTAAAAAAAAAGTCATTGCCTAGTCAGTTGTAATTTTTTGAATGAATGGGGTATGCAGATTCTGAACTAAATAAATCATTCATCTCTATATAAGAATTCTGTGTGTATATGATTAATATTCTTGGAAATAGAAAGGTTTGTGAATTGTGATTGGAAATTGGGATGTGGACCTCAGTGGATGTTCCTGGGTATGGAGATTTTTTTTTTAGTTTACACCGAGATATATACTTTTCCATAACATATGTATCTAAAAGGTATAATCGTTAGTACATGCTCAAATTGTTGATAATACCAATAGCCTAGCTGCACACCTAACCTGAATTCCAACCCCCAAATAAATGAAAATTTAACTACAGTACTTATGCAGTAAAGTGACATCAGCATGAACATTATCTACAAAGACGCAATTCAAGAATTCATTTGTAGTTAAGATGTACTCAGACAATTTGACAAAGTTGTATCATTAGCACATGGATCCATTTCTCTTTCATAATTCTTTTTTTTTATTTATCCATTCTCAGTTTGCAGATTCATTTAACTTTAATCCTCACAAATGGCTGCTAGTGAATTTTGATTGCTCTGCTATGTGGTAAGTATTAAAGTGAAAGGAAACATTACAAGAGAAAAAAATTACTTGTTAAATTAGTCTACCTTTCTAGCAGTAGACATTTATTTGCATTTCTGTATTGAAATTAGGAGTTCTGGATAGCTTTAACTCTTGTAAATTATTTACAAATTTCAGTCCTTCATTTGGTCCAAGTTTCAAAAAAGTAAAGTTTAGAAGTAGGCCCGAGCTCTGCATTATGTTCCAGAGAGAGAGAGAGAAATCCTGAAAAGTCTGCAGATTCGTATTTGCTTCTTTTGGGGATTGTTTAAAACTTAAATGAAAAAAAATATGAGGATGTTAATGCAATGAACAGCATGCTAAACAGAGCTTTTTCTTCTTTTCCATAAAAATACTTTTTGCTTGAGCCTTGATTCTTTCAAAAGCCTTTCTAAAAATGCTTGAGATTTGGGTGATGACAAGCAGCTGATTTCAAAAAGACTATTTATGAAATTTTAATTTCTGATTTTTATTTCTTGATTTCCCTTTTTCCTAGATGACAGCAAAGGCAACATTTTGATATAAAAAGGTGCCAAAGTAGAAACCTGTAAACATACTTTGAAACAAAGAGAAGTATCATAGAAGTAATAATAGCAATAATAAAAACATCCCATAATAGAGGACCCTATTGTGTCCCAAACTGAAATCTCCAGAACTTAGTGTCTACCAGCATCACAGTTAATGATACTTATTAGCAAAACAGCTATTCAGTAAATGCAGACTATTTACCAAAATAAACAAAAACATTAACTTTGGTTATAATAGAACAATAAAATTTGCAAAAACTAAAAACAGAAGGAAAAACTGAATGTTAAAGAGAAGACTCTAAAACATCATCCAGAAAAAGGTCACCTTATTTAAAAGAAGAATAAATGTGAGACAGTGACAGTTGCCTTTGGTTAATCTTTGGCTCTTTTACTATTCTCAGCAAAGCTGGCTTTGCCACAAATGTGTAGATTATTCAGATAATACATTACATTTTTTACTTTAATTTACATTTAATTTACATTTTCCTGATGTAGGCACTTCAAATATTCCAAGCCATTATCTGTTGTTTTTTTCCTTTCTTTAGAGTAAATGGCTTACATTCTGATCCTGATTCATTAGTAGTGTCAGTCAGTGATTAACCCAAAACTCCAGTTTATAAGTACCACCTGACTAGCTGTCTCTTTCTGTATATGGAAATAGGAAGATGATGAAACTCCTTTGCTAGTTTCTCCCATCTTTTTCTCGTCACTCAGAGATGTTAACAAAGTAGCCACTCGAAAATGAGACAATACACCATCATTCTCTTTAATGTTTGTAGGACAATTAGGGGTCAGAGTCTAGTCCCTACCAGTTTAATTTCTCATTAATTCTGCTCTCCCCGAAAACCCTGTGGAACTATGTTAAAGGTATTTTACTTGGCTTTCCAGGAAAACGAGGTATATGCAATCACACTGTCTGTCAATGTTGCCATCTCGGGCAATTTTAGCTTCTTCCTAGCAAAGCTTAGACTTCAGACTTAGGAAAGTATTTGTCTCCATTTTGTTTCTTGTTTGTTTTTTTGTTTGGGTTTTTTTTTTTTTTTTAGATTGTATAAAATGCTTGTTTTCATAGGTAGGAAGATTCCATTGCAAGGAATCTCAGGAGACCTTGCAACATGTCTCCTTACTCAAAGTGAAAGCTTTACAACTAAGGCTTCATTTCAGCTTCATTTAGGCTTCATTTCAGCAAAGCATTTACGTATAGGTATTATTCACTTAATAACAAATGAAGTATACATTTAAAGTTAAACGCTTTGACTTAAAGCCAAATCCATCATCCAACTACTTCTACGGCCCATGTCCAAAATTCACCTCTCTTATCAACTGTAACACTGCCTGAAAAGGTGAAATGTAATAAAGGATGAAGGAACCTGGTGAGAAAAAGTAATGGTGAAGGATACATAGTCCTCTTAGGATCCATGGGAAGTATTAATCATGATATTGTAATAATACAGAAAGAGTTCGATAAACAGTGAACACCATTTCAGAATCAAAGTAAGCTGAGTTCCATTGACAGAAAGGCTTCTAAATCACCCCGGCTTCTCAGCACTTTCCCTAGTAAACACTCCCATTTCTTTTCCTTGCAAGTTGATTAAGATAATCTAGCCATTAGATCTATAATGTAATTATTTAACTACTCAGTGCAATATGTAGCAGTGATGTAATTTGGGATTTGGAGGCAATTTATTATAAAGCTTTAGTAAAATGTTCTCAGACTTCTCGATGTACAGAAAAGAGCAGTGAATTTCCTACAGAAAGGAATTTAATACAGCCACTCCAAGAGGGGTACATTTTCCATTTTCAAGTGTTAGGGTCCTTTAGAGACTTTTCCTTGAAACTACCAGTTAGTTTTGCCTGAATTAGTATTCCGGAATATTACAAAATAAGAAGTGTCTTCTTTCAGAGAGACTGAAAATAATAATCTTACAAAGTCTTGGTATTTTTGCTTTTCTATTACTCTTTTCAGAGTTTAAGTGTTAACTTTTGGTTGGGAATGTTGTTTTAGGATTTCGAAGGCAGGTGCTTACAGGAAATGCTTATCTGTTGATGGAAGTGAAATTGTCCTGTTGGTTTATAATATCAAATCACCTTTTTGATTGTTGTATCTATCATTTAAAATGGACAGAATAGAGTGAGGGTGTTAAAAGCTGCAGACGTGCAATCCAAGTAAGTCACTTTTCAGATTTGCATGACTTTATTCACCAGGAATTTTCTTGTGCATTTTGTATTATGAGTACTTAATATGTGAATCTGTGCCACTCAAGCTAGATCGTAGTGGGACTATTAGCATAACATCAAGTCTTAAAAAAAATCTAGTTTATCAATGACATTTTTGAAATATATATTCACCATCCTTCAGTCAACCAGGGGTATTTGCAAAGAAAGTTAAGAACACCTCTTCTGTCCATTACCAGGCCACACAAGCACTTACTGCGAAGAAGTTAAAATACATAGGGTGAAATCTAGACATGGTGTAGAGATGTGCAGCTCAACAGGTTCGTATGCATTGATGCCCAGGCTTTGGATTTATTTTAGTAATCCTTTTAGATAGTTTTTCATGGTTGCCAGATTAAGACCTGTGAAGTCCCCAGATGGAACACCATCTTTTAAAAAGGCAGTAACATCACCAAGGAAGTACAATATGACAGCATTTTTGTATCTTCTAAGCTAGATATTACAGGAGAAGAAATGAAGCGCTCACAAAACAACTAATGATACTGCTTGTAACTTGGGTTAGTTACGTACAGAATGAGCTACTGAAACATGAATATATCAAAGCGATCAAACATATCAGATAAACTACAGTAGAACAACTTAGGGTTTGTTAGAAGTAATTACCCTAATTAAACTTGCTTTCAGGTAATAGTTTCTTCCTTCTGTCCATAGGACATTTCCAGCACACAAATGGATTATTGATTGTTTTTACTGAGAGCACTCTGAATATCTTTTACAATTTTTCACATGCATAAGCTTACTTATCTTCAGCTTTGTACTTTCAATACCTGAAGGCAAGTACATAACTGTTAACCTTGGTATTTTCCTGACCATCAGTGAGAAGAAAGCTTTTTGTTTGTTTGACTAAGGTGTTTTATAAGCAGTCTAGATGTGGATGAGAGTGGGAGTACGTACTGGCCTGTGCATTTACATACACACTAAAAAATCGGAAATTAGATTTTTACTTAGAAATGTATAATTTTATATTAAAACATTAAAACCCAGAAAAAAAAAAACAAACAGATGCACAGAAAATTATAAAAGGTTTGGAGTTCTGACATTTAGAGTGTCCCCATGGTGACATAATCATTGCTTACCCTGTAATATATTTATAGACCTAAGATAATGATGTAGCAGTCTTTGTCTTTTTGATTTCTTCTTCTTCTGACTCTATAAACCCCAACACTTGTGGAGGTGAGTCAGTCGTACACAGAGTGAAGCATAAACCAGGAAAATCTTGTTATTACCCACTGGCAAAACATAGCTTATTCTCTCCAAAAGGCACATGCTGACTTTTGAACCTCAGTCCAGTCACACCAGCCACTAGCAGGCAAAAGTAAGGTATGCTTCTCAGTCTGGCACTGTGCTGTATTATGTCTGTCCGTAGGTGTATTTTGGATCCAGCTAGAGGGCAGGGTGGTACAAGAGGGAAGGCTGAGTCTGGACCAGGGGCTTGTCCCTACCAGCGGGTGCTGCCCCGACCACCACAGCATGGAGGGGCCATGGCATCCGCAGAGCCTCACCACGGCTGTGCATGGTGTCTAGGAAGCCACAGCTCTTCCCACACAGCTTTGTACTGCAGGAATTTCAAGGCAACTTCTGTTGACTGCAAACATTAACATTGCTTCAGCTAGTCTCACATTCTGGTGTGAGTGTCTATCACCATAAAAAGATCCTCTGTGTCTGTTTCTTGTCTGTTTTTAAATATGCAGTCGTGCAGTCATGCTGCCCGTTCCTGCTGAGCCTTACACTTAACTACTTGTAAGTACAGTACTGATATGGCTGTGAAAAAGCACTGAAAATGGCACAGGCTGTGCTCAGGAAATACGCCAGTTTAAACACATTCAATTTGCCTTCACTTCTTATGGAAATTTAATCCGTTAAATTTAATTCTTTCTTTTTTATACAGGGTGAAAAAAAGATCAGATTTAACAGGTGCCTTTAAATTAGAACCTCTTTACCTGCAGCATCACCATCAGGAGTCTGGTAATTTTATAATTAAATGAGATTATTATTATTTTGTTTGCACACTGATATTTAATGGGAAAAAAGGACTTAAGATGAAAACTGAAATTCTTAAAACTATCTAAGTTGTTTAGGATCCTGTTTCCATTTTCAGAGTGCCCTGGGGAGTTAAGCTTATTAAAGTGAAAACACATGTCTAGTGAGATTTTAGTTAGTATAAAAATCAATGGAGGGAAAGCCATTTTATACAGCATTATATTAATACTTTTGTATTGGGATTTCCCCGGCTTCAGACTTACCACTGACTCTGTAGGAGTGTTGAGAAAATTCTTAATGATCTTTTAGCAGTCAGATAAACATATTTTTGGGTGCTGTGTATTGAGTCCCTTTACCTGCTTTCCCCAACTTATCTTTTTTCAGAATGGTTTCATGATCTGATTTGTTTTTAGAGTTTCGAAAGTCTGTGACCTTTTCTCTTAGCTATTCATGGAAACTCTGATTTAACATTTCCAAAACCCCATGTCAGGAGCAAACACTCCCTGAAACTGCAAACTGGGGGTGAGCTGTGTTTGATATCTATGCTCCATTTTGAGTGATAGCTATCTGGGCCATTACCCCGTTGCTCTTATGTTGTTACATTGATTGTAGAGAAGGCAGTAAGTGCAGGCTATCAGTCCTGTACAAAATGCTCATGAAAGTTCTTCACAAAATGCTCACAAAGAACTTACAAATCTTAGGCCCTGCACAAAGTTGCTCATTGGATTAGTGCTGCTTCTTGCACATACCTAGCAACTGCAGAGTGGCATTTGCCATCCTGAAACCTGTTTTTACACATGCGGTTATTAACTGATTAATTGTGAAGAGGGTCACAGCAGTGCAGTGTCAACATGTGGTACAAGTTCCCTCATAACTCTCTCAAGAGGGTGAATCACATGTGGATGTTCTTACCATTTACTGTATCTCATATTTTTCCTGAAATTGCTGGCGCTGATCTGTGTGCAGAAGCGTATCCTGAGTACTTTTATCTTCTCTCTGTTATGGCTATGAACTCATTGACAGATAAACTAGTATCATCCAGAATGCCACCATTCACTAAAAAGCCCTATGAAGAATTGACTCCTGTGCCTTATTCATGAACTGGCAGAAATTTTGCATTTTATTCCTTTTCTACATTTCCAAGCAATGCAAATATAGAACTGTGATATAATCAGGAAAATGCAGTAACTCTGGAGCTGGAGGTTCACCCTCCAAAGGCTAAAATTGTTATGAAGAAAATATATATGCTGGTTTTTTCCTTCTTAAATTAAAAATACCAGTTATAGTAAATACACTTAAGTCACTAGTTTTTACTTTGCTTACATGAAAAATATTTCACTATAGGAGAAAAAAAACAACTTTAACTAAAGTGAAGATATGTTCTTGTGACAACTGATGGTACTGATACAAGAACCTTACATCCTCCCAAGTTTAAACAACTAGGTGCTTTCGGTGAGACCACCAAATTGATCTGAAAACTTCTATCTCCCCAGCTGGATAATAAGTTTTTCAGCCTTTGTCAGCTGTGATAGCTTGTTGTGCATTCTGGACATGATGATTTCAAAGAGATCAGCTGATTACTAGAGTCTAGTGATGCTAAATTTATCTATATTCTATTCCCATTTGATATCAATTTTCCAAAGAGCTGGACAACACTTTTCAAATGCAAATGCTTCTAGTTAAACTGTTAAATCCGATCCACACTTATGCCTTCAATAAACATAGCCAAATTTGCAAAGGTGCAAATTCGTTACAGTCCCTGTATTTATGAGATGTCAGCGCTCCTGGAAATATGGCTTGTCTAATGGAGGGTCTTATTTTCTGACTACGTCTCAGGTCTGAGATTTCTCGTCATGGTTTACAAGGCAAATGAAGTAGCATTTTTGAATTTGCTCATCTCTCACTCAAGAACTTAAATGAGCGGAAAAATATCTCTATCTGTGAGCAATTACTCTTAATAACCACATGGCAATTATGTGTGCCCCCAAGGGGAAAGTCTTTATTTTGTCATTAATTATAATTTTATGTGATTTGCATCATGACACCAGGAAGATTATACTTGCTTGCCTGGCAACCCAGGATATAGGTCAAATCCTAATGGCAGTGTTAGAAGAATGCAGCTTTATACTCTATTGTGAACGCCACATATGCTCCCACAATGCAATTCCCCTTGGTTAAATACAGATGTAAGACTAAGGCTTGTAATCAAGGACGAATCATTGATTGCATTCTGCTTCACAGCTTGTGAAAGGCGGTGTTGTGGATCATTAGACATAGCCCCTTACAGGAGCGTAGGATTATTTATCTATCACCAGTTGCTTCACTCTTTGCTACCAGTCTTGCAGCTATCAAACAAAAATGGCTGCTACGACACAGAAGAATATGAACGTTATCGAATTACCTCATTACCAAGCTGACACAACTAGGTTAATTTCCTGAAGTCCAGGAACAGGTTAATGATTGCTGGTTGTTGTGTGGGTTTTTTTCATCTGGAAAATAGCCTAGTAACAGATTAAAGAACCGAATAGCTTTATGTTGCAGGGAGGAAGGACCATGCTTTTTCCTATGTTTTGGCTGCAGGGATGAGAGAACATTGGCAAGAGCGCTTGTAAGACAAGAAATACAGTCTTTTTAACTCCTAGAAAATATAAAGGCTGAGAATTATGTAAATGACATAGACTGGTCAAATTCAGAAGCTACAGTTCTATATAGTACCTTGCGGTTCACAATTACAGGAGCACTTTCCCATGGAATTTAAGTACATACGTTCCTATGAAGCTTATACTTCAGAGTAATAAAGCAGAATAAGAAAGCTAAGCAGATGGTTCCATATTTTCCTAAAGAAGTGCTTTAAATTTTACGTCAGTTTAATTTCTGTCACTGGTTTACTGCAAGTAATCCAGTTTTATGTTACAGTTTCCTTTACTGTGAAAACAGTTTAATTGACTGATTCAAAGGTGGATGTATCTTGACGTTGTGCTCCGAGTGCTTATATAAAAGATAACTAATAATGCCCTCTACTTGCCTCCCTGTACTGCTTTGTGGCTTGGTCAATAAGTGTTTGTAAGTGGCTTTCACTACATCAAATGAAAAGCCATAAAAAAATGCAGAATGCTATTCTCCAAGCAGGAAGAGGTCAATTCTGAGTCAGATTTTCTAATCACTTTATTAGACATGCTGAAGAAGTAGCAACAGATATATGAATACGTGTAAAAGGTAGCTAGAACTGGATTATTTTAAAAAGTGTTACCAGTTCACTAGGGTAAAGGTGGTGACATTTCACAGCAGAGAATGAGTGATGACATGAGCTTGGGTATTCTTCAAACTGTTTAAAATAAAATTAGTAATAGCCATTTTATCTACTACTTATTTCACTTAAAAGAAGAAAATAAACATAGTATTTAGTCTATCACTTCCACAGTATCTGCAGTATAACAGAAAGGAAAATTGTGTTTCTTGGGCTGTAATCTGTTTAGTTTGTTAGTGGTATATTCTGACTAGCTAAGGAATGAAGCCTATTACAGGCACCTTCATTTAGCATGCTGCCAGGTATCTTACTAGATATTTAGTGGTCCTGTTGACACTGGTGATGCTGCAGTTCATAGAGAACATGATAAGATAAGATACAGGTTTTTCAATAGCATTAGAATGATTGAAAAACTTGGCTGTTGTGATGAAGAAATGTGAACATTTTTTCTTTAACTTTCAGGCCTTGTAACAGATTATCGGGTAAGTACAGCATCAGTGTAATAATTAATACTATTGCTGGTATATACTGGTATTTTCAGGACTTTTATTTTCCATTACTGTCATAAACCTCAAAACCTTATGTTCCTTTTCAGGAAGGATTCAGCTTGCTAATTTTTTAACATTCCTCAAGCTGAAACTTTAAACTCTATTTTCTGAAAAAAATTGTTTGAAGGCAGAAGTTGTTTTGCATGAACAATATCTCAAGGTTTAGGCAGTAGAAAGAAATGTCCTAAAGATCTTTTTTTTTTTCTTTAACATAGAAAATAATACCATTTAAAAAAAAAAAAAAAAAAAAACAAAACAAAACAAAACAACAAAACACATATGTGTTTTAATCTTTAACTAATAGAAATGCTGTTATTTTGAAATGGAAAATGGGCCTGTCATTGTAGATGCTAGCCCCACAACTGTAAACAAGCTTGTAAACAGGTACATGAGCTTCAATTGTAGTTTAACCCCAACAGGCAACTAAGCACCACATAGCCGCTTGCTCACTTCTTCCCCACCCTGATGGGATGGGGAGGAGAATCAAAAAAAATAGAAGCAAAACTCATGGGTTGAGGTAAGAACAGTTTAATAATTGAAATATAATAATAATGATGGCAACAACAACAATAATAGTAGTAATTAAAAGGAAGGTAGCAAAACAACACGAATAAAACCCAAGAAAAGACAAGTGCTGCACAATGCAATTGCTCACCACCCGGTGACCGATGCCCAGCCGGTCCCTGAGCAGCAATCCATGCCCCTGGGCAACTCCCCCCAGTTTATATACTGATCGTGATGTCCTATGGTATGGGACATCCCTCTGGCTAGTTGGGGTCAGCTGTCCTGGCCACGCTCCCTCCCAGCTTCTTGTTCATCTGCTCACTGGCAGAGCATGGGAAACTGAAAAATCCTTAACTTAGGATAAGTGCTACTTAGCAACAACTAAACCATCAGTGTGTTATCAGCATTATTCTCATACTAAATCCAAATACAGCACCGTACCAGCTACTGGGAAGAAAATTAACTGTGTCCCAGCCAAAACTAGGACAGTTTCTAAGATTCTTATTTTTCTAAAGTGTTTGCAGAGCATTCAGGATGCACAAAGAAAATTTGATTTGCCTGGTGACCCTTCCATTCTGACACCAACCTCCTTTTTGAATTTTAATTTGAAAAATTTGAGTGTTAAACAGTCACACCAGGGCATTAGCCAGGAATAGACATTTCTACTATTACTTGACCCGCCTCTAGCAACTGCCTGTAGGATGTGGCAATGTAGTACACTTCAAAATCATTGCAGAATGTACAGTTTCTGCAGTATCACTGCAACGGTGACTTCTAACGTGGGTGCCCTCCCTCTCCCTGGCTTGCAGCACTGGCAAATCCCCCTGGGCAGGAGGTTCCGCTCCCTGAAGCTCTGGTTCGTGCTGAGGATGTATGGAGTCACGGGACTGCAGGAGCACATCCGCAAGGTGACTGGAATTTCCTTTCTTGGGTAACCTATGATGGGATGGCAAGGGAAAATGAGCTGGCTGCCTATCTTCTTGCCCTGACTTCTGTGCACATCAGAAAGCACAGGCAACAGCTTTCATACAGCTCGGTTCAATAGGGGTGCTGCTCGTTTGCCCTGTGTTCTGTCACAATTTCACATCACAGCAGGATCAAAACTGTCATCCATTTTGTGTTAATCTTTAGGGGAGAGAAGTCTAAGAATTTGGAATTTCTACAATGTGGGGCCATAGCTCCCTTTCAAATTAAGCCAGACCACATCCATGGTTTTACTGCAGAAAAACATGTTTATTCATTAATCCTTTATTTTATTAATGTGCATAGATTGATAGCATGTTAGGATTATGATTAAGGGATACAGTAACGTATTAGTCACATCTGCCTCTACTGCTTCTTTGTTTCCTGTTTAAAATACTTTTTAAAGAAAAAAAAATGTGTACAATTTACAGTTTGTTAACAATGTTATAAATAAGTACTGAGTTTATTCTTGATGCAAAAAGAAGGGGTTTCTTTATCACTAAAAACCACATCTAGCAGCAGTCTAAATTATATATATACTTTCTCTGTAGCAGTAAAGTCAAATTCAAGCATACCTTTCAGCTTTATGAAGTTTAGGGAAACTTCTAGTGAGGGGAGATCCATGACTTATCTCTAAACATTTACAAAAATATCCATTAGCTAAAGGTCTAGTCTAGTATTCCAAACTCCATGCAGACACAAATTCCTTTCTATTGTGGTACTAAACAGATTAATTCCTAAGAAAGGCTTTTTCCATTGTTGTAAAATCACTGCATGAGGAAGTCTCTTTCAATTTGGAAAGGTTCTGGGATGGAGGGTACCCCTTGCTTCCCATTTTTATCAAACTATAATTTTCAAATGTTTTTACAAACATCAAAATCAGATTTTTATCCTCAATGTGAGGCTTTCAGAAATAAATTTTGGCAACAGTGACAATCCTGACGTTCTGTCATCCTTGTAGCAATCTGATACATATCCTTAGGTTGAAAATTTGACACAAGATTTGTTACCGCTTCACTAAGCTACCATTACAGTTTCTGGTGGGATTCTCTCTTAGGTTAGATTTCTGGAGACTGCAATTATTTCAGTATGATGCCAAGTTTGTAAGTAGGGCTAAATCTCTCACTGGGAAAGTAGAGGGTTGGAAGCCTCATATCAATTACACAGCCTTTTATCAGACTGGCTTCCATAGGTCAGTATTTACAGTCAACAAATTCCCTCTTTCCCTGTCTCCCAGGCATTTCCCTGACTGTCCAGCCAAAGAGTGCTTGTCTTCCTATAATCGTAGCTGAAGACTAGGGTTTTATATTTTCCAGGAAAGCAAATCAATCTTTTCTCAATGGTACCGACTGCAAAGTAAAACTCTAGTATGTTCCCTTATTTGTAAAGGTAATTCAGACAGCTAGATTCCCAAGGGCTTCTTGAATTAAGTGTGTATGTTTAGTATTTCATTGACTAAATTGTTCCCCAGTATACAGAGAAAAATAAGTTATGACCTTACGTTTGCAACTTTGAAAGGGCAAGTGGGATAATGAAGTGCAGAATTTGGCTCATAGTATATACATCTGTCAAACTGGAACCATTAAGTTAGTTTCCCCTGACACTGGTTTATATTTTCAAACCTATAGACAAGTTTCAAAATGAAAAGTCATCTGGAATTTAACTTCACTAGTTAACTTCACTTTAATATTGCTTATCCCAGTGTTTGGCCTTGAAAAGTTGCTTTCTTTTAAGCGTGTAGCATCTTGCCAATAACAGCTTTCATATTCCCATTGCTGGCAAAGGCAGTCCTTGAAAAGAATAGCTGGTACCATATCTTGTGTGCTTGGGACTTTTAGCTGGGTTTTAAGGGAACCTCTGTAGTTGCCAGAATTATTTCTGAAGCTGCGTTTATTATAGTGGGTGATACAGTAGACATAGGTAGAATGAGAAGAGACCTAGGAACAGGGGCAAAAGCAGGTATTGAAACCTTCCAGTGGAGAGCAGAGTGGCTGGAGCTGGGGAAGCGGGAAGAAGTGCTCTCTCCCTCTCTCTCTGTTGTGATACTAAGGAGTTGCCCCAGGGAAAGGGCCACAGAGCCAGGCAGAAGAGCAGGGGTTTGAAAGCAGAGGTCTCCGTGGGCTGGAACCTGTGGAAGGGGATGGCTACGTTTGGGATGTAGCATGCAGTTGTACACTGCACACCTCAGCAGATCTGTGTGTAGGGCATGTCATTTCTGTTCACACTATACAAGAGCAGCTAAGGCATGCCTGCTCAGGTGCAGGGCTGGGCCTTACTGAGAGATTTGGGAGCTAGGGTTTCAATTCCTTTCTGAGTTTATAAAAATCCTAATATAGATGCTGCAATCACCTAGGGAAAGAAAAAGATAATTCAGCTCCCTGAGTCACAGAAAACTGTAGGAAGATTTATCCAATGTTTATAGACTCCTAGTTAGGCTTCTTTTGCGCAGCCAGGTGTTACTTACAAAGTGATTTTCAATAATGATGTGCTTCAGACATGATACAGAGGGAAAGAACACTGTATAACCTTAAGAAGCCACACTATTTGCTGTGTGATTAGCAAGCTTCTATATGGAAGACCAAAGATATCTGCAACTATGTCTTCACAAACTTTTTTTTTTTCCTGGATGTAAACTGCCACAGAAAAAAAACAATTTGTCTCTTTTTTTTTTTTTTTCTTTCTTTTATTAGTTTGATTTAAGAAAAAGATGTTAGTTATGTTTGTAGCCTTAAATTCTGCATCAAAATGACTAGATAACCACTGCATCCTGGCATTTGTTTGTACTGAGAAAAACATTTAGGAACTAAAATATTCCTGGGAAATGAGAATGTCTGATTTGGATTTAGACACAGTAACTTTGTATTGTTTTCCAAACCTTCCAGCTATGTACACCAGATATGTACATATACACAACATGTAATATGAGCCTATTGCAAAGTATAGGTTTTAAAGCAGTGATAAAGGGGAGGACAGTCATCTCTGAAGGATGTGGGGAAAGAAACATACAAATTTTGGAGTTAAGACCCAAAGCTGCATAGGAGATATACAAAGAAGGCAAACCCAACAACAATAACACTCTTCCAGACTGATTCTGAACACTCAGACTCAGTATAAAAGTGAAACCCAAATGGCCCGTTTGTAAATGACCATTTGCAAACTGCTTGACCATCTATTACTCCTTTGTTGATTTAAATCCATTCAAAGAGCTCAGAAGTCATTTGAGAAATTTAGCAGTTAATGTTTTTGTGTGTGATCCCCGTGAACATTCTGACTCAGATGAATCTTCCATGGGACCAGAAGAGATCAGTGTACCACATCCTTCTTTCTTCACCAAGGATAATGAGTTCCATTATAAATCAACAGCAGCGACTAAGAAACTGGAACTGTACAGAACAGCAGTGTCAGAGATAGCATTTCAACTGGGGAGTGGCACAGTCCAAGTGGCTCTTGAGAAGACTCTTTTGACAGCATTTTCCTCCGGAGTGTAGTGGGATGTGAGCTAAGGCAGGCAGAGAAGTGAAATCTATAGGAGGAAAAGTATGAGGTGATCAAGGCTAGGCAGGTATGCTTGTTTACATATACATGTTAATGTACTCCGATGCTTCAGAGAAGCTCCCTTCAATCAAAAACTATTTTAGTTCTTGAAGGCTTTGCCCAAAAATCAAAATTCAGTTTAAACACCTCAATGCAGAAGCATTTGTATTTATACATATACATACACAGAGTTTTTAAAATAGGGACCATGTCTTAATGCCTCACAGGTTAACTACTCCCCTTAGTGATTATGTAAGACATTTCCCTTAATCCTGAATAATTAATTGAACCCTTTCTTGTTTCCCTTTTTGTTGCAAGAGAGCAATGGTTATTTACCTGAGATAGACAGTGATATGCAAAAATTCTTCACAAGCTTCTTTTTTTTTCAATCTGCTAAATTTCATGGTGAAGAAAAGGGCTGGTATTCTGCTCCCATATGCCAAGACTTTTCAGGCCACTAATACAGTCCATGTGATTCCACTTTGGGGACCCACATGATAAAGGAATTGTCCAAATGATATTGCTAGAAGCAGTATGTGGGTTGGTTTATGTATGTCCACTTTTTTGTTAAATTATACGACACCATTAATTTTTAAAGGTTAAATAATATTTGAATGTCAGCTTTCAGTTAATGGTGCTAGGGACTCAGCATGACAAAAATGTCAAAATCAAAAACACTTGGAGGGTTAAAATATCCTTAGATCAGGCTTGGTATGTACACATTCAGCAGAAAACTGAGAACAGCCTGTTAGTTTTTACCTCTCCTTTCCCATCCTTAGTTTCAGTGGTCACAGTTCTCCAAACAGGACTTTATTTTCCGTTTCCCTTCCTGTCTTGAGAATTTGAAGCACTAAAGCCACACGGGCCCTCCTGTGAGTTTCTGCCCTGCTCACACGCAGAGTGTGGGTACGGCTTTTGGACTCGCAGAGGCAGGTGGGATAGCTGAAAGCCCTGCAGTTTTACACAGTTTGAACTTCCAGGCTTAATAATGTTTAACTTTATTGGGTTTAATTATGTTTGATTGTAACAGTCTTTGTAAAAGCAATTCGGGATAACAGCTTATGGTTTAAAGGTGCAGGGCCTTGGGTAAATGTGTTAAGCAAAGCTATTACAAGGTGAAACGTCAGTTAAATCTCGGTTTTCTCCCCTTTCCAGTTCTGCATACTCTAAAACACTTGGTGCCCCCCAGTGGCTTTACAAATTATTGCTACTTGTTAGGACTCGCTATGGATGAAAGTACTTGCATCTAGATGAATACAAAATACTTCCAGAATGTTGATTTGTGTTTTACTGAATATTCACTATTTTTCCTTGCTTTTATTTATTTCAAATTCAAAAAAAAAAAAATCCTTTAGTGCAAAAAGTGGACATAAATACCTGCTATAAAATGTACATCATGGGTCTGGAGTTTTCTTGTACAAAGTCCTTGCAGCAAGCCAAATCTTAATTTTTTGTTTTATTCAGTTCTTACCCAGGTAAATTTTGAATAAATCCAGTTTGTGATTACATTCAGCTGAACAGTTGTGAAATTGTTATCTCATTGAACATGATTTTTTTTTTTTTTATGGCTTTGATTTCCAAGATGTAGTATATGCAGTGTGAAATTTTGCAGACCTGTGTAAAAGACATCAGTTTGGTTAAGGCTATAGAAAATAAGGATAGGAGGAGATAGTAAAAGAACATTACAACATGTATGCATATTTCACATGTTTTCCATGCACTTATGCATACAAGTATCTGTATGTATATATAGACTTCTGCTCAATTTTCATAGCTGTAAACTCATTCTGTTTACATTTGCAGAACAGTCAAATGCCTTGGAAAGGATTGGGCATTTTATTGGTCTCATTCCTGTCTCAAAGAGCTTTCAGTCTAATTTTAGAGGGAGATGATAAATGGATGTAGCAAAGAGCAGGGAGGAAGTGGTAACAACAGGAAGATTGGCTTGTTGCATAGGGTACCAGTATGCCCAATGTGAAGGTTTTGAAGCAATGTTTTGATTCAATATAAACAATGTTTTTCTATTTTAAGGAATAAACAAGCATCAGAAAGCTATGATTAAGATTGCTAAATGTGTTGGGTTTTTGTTTTGTTTTGTTTTTTCTTTTCTGTAATTTCTGTTTTGCCTTGTTCTTGCCCTTTTGGAAGAAGCTGCTGGGAGATGAAATATTCCACATCAAACCCTGGCCCAAAGTGAAATGTTTCGGTGTCATTTGATATCTGTCCTTGAACTTACAAAAAGGCAAAGGGCAAAAGCAGGAAAAGACATGTGCTTAGTTGTTTATTTTTGGAAAATTATTTGCAGACATAAATATATAAAAGCTAAGGAACCTTTGAACATCATTGTAGATGTTGCTGATAATTTTTGGTGTAGAATGGTTACTGCATGAAGACAAACTGTAATTATAATAGCTGGTTGATGGTTTTTGTTGTGTTTTTTGTTTTTGTTTTTTTGTTTGTTTGGTTGGTTGGTTGGTTGTTTTTTTTTTTTTGTTTTTTAGGGTAGTGAGCACTAAACTGATGATAGCCAGTGAGAGGGCGACTGGGTAAGGTACTGCAGGTACCTGATGAGGATATGGGTTCTTTTTTTTCAAGCGTGTTTGAATTAATTTTCAGTTTGAAATAAAGTGAAACGTGGTATGAGTATGCTAGCATCACTGACTGATGTTAAGACTTCCCAGCTGGTTGTTAGTATGCCTGTTGGTATTTTTCCTATTTGTTTGATTTGGGAAGAGCACTGGTTTCCTATGCTTCAAAATAATTGCTTTGGCTTGGTCTTCGATATCACTCTTTTTCCCCCAGTAACTTCTGAACAGGTTGGCCTTGATTTGCTATACAATTTCTTGATTATACTGCCATCACCTTTCTTTTCAACTGAAACTGAGCACCCAGGTCAGAAGAGTAAGCGAGTTCTCCCCTTCTTCACAGTTACTCTCATGTTAAGTGAACTGTTCTAAAAAGTGTATCTTTCCAGCTTATTTTACTCTGGAATTGTGATCATTTTCTCTATATATATCTGTGCCTCTCCCCCTTTCCCTATAATAACTTTTGGACTCTTTAGCCATTCCCAGCCAAAACTGACAGTGGTAGAAAACCTAAAGAAGAATTATTACAATTATTTACTATTAACATGGTATCATATACAACTGTGACGAAATGTTTCATTAAAAAATAGACTGGTACTGCCTAAGATAGACTGAGCTACTAATATAGTAATGGCTCAATATGGTCTCTGGAAGTCATAAACGGGATGTAAGTTAACATAAACAGATGGCAATATGTGAATATTATCACATATCAGAAGAGGGAACAGGGAGAAGAGATTAGGGATGGAAGAAGTATAGCACATCTTTTCTCTTGATGAATCAAATTTATACAATGTAGATACTATCTTTCTCTTCTCAGCACATCAGGCTGTCGCATCAATTTGAACATTTAGTCCTTCAGGATGAAAGATTTGAGATCTGTGCTAAGGTTGTTTTGGGATTAGTCTGTTTTCGGCTGAAGGTAAGGCAGCTAAAACCTCTTACTTCTTCTGTCATGTTTTAGAGCAATATAATAACCTGAAATTTAATATAGTCTTTGTAGTTAATATACTTATTTATTTTTAAAGAAAAGAGGAGTTCATGTAGAACAAAGCAGATTAAAGAAAAGAGCTGAAGACAATTTTGTTAAAAATTAATCAAATGCTTAAGAGAAATTCAAGCATATTAAGGTATGGAAATATACAGTCAAGGCAAATGGTCTACCCAGTCATACAAAATGATCATTACATTCTACACTTGATGGGCTTTGATGAAGATGATTGTTTTAATATATTTCCCCAGACATTTGTATAAGATGTGTGAGCGTATGTATTATGTGTTTCTTGTCAAGTTAATTTCCTATGTGTGCATACTTAATATCCAATTTTATATGTATACACTATGACTATCATGGATGAAGATTAGCGTAGTAAACACTTTTTTATTGTTTTCTTTAAAGAATACATTTTCACTTATAAAATCCTACAGTCAGAGTGGGCAAATAGGACCAAGATATGAGTAAGAACAGATTGCATGGGAGGCCAGCTTCCCAACAACCCTTAGTGCTGGTCTGCTTTTTTTTTTTTTTTGCTGAACATGATCCTTTGCCCCTTTGGCCTTTGCTTCCCCAAAAATCTCTGTAAGTGCCAAGTTCACTGACGTAGAGCCCTTGCCCAACAGGAACTAGAAAACTCACTCTGCTCTCAGAGGATACGAGCTGCAGTAGTTGGGAGGGCGCACTAAATGTAATCAGACATTAAAAGGGGATCAGTGTCTCCTTTTAGGCAAAGAACTCATTTAATAGAGGAGCTTGCTACTAAAACTTCTGAAAAGGGCTGGATTGTGACACTGAATCTGAACACCAAGCAATAATAACAACAGCACTGGTGTTTTCTAGTTCACATGATACCTAAATGAGCTTTTAGCTTTTCCGAAGGCTCACAAGCACATCCTGGCTCCTTCTGGGTACTTGGGTAGTGTGGTATTACTACTTTTCACAAATTCTTTTCTCAGTCATTCAGTTGCCCCAGCTACCTGAGTTTGATACAATTGGCTGAGGGAGCTAACGAATCTTTAATAATGAGGTAATGGTGAATTCATCTGGAATAGGAAAATGGCTTTGTTTGAATTTATATTGTTTAAAACAAAAGAAATAAATTATCTGTTGCTATGGGATCAGATAGATTACAGAACGTGGAGGTCTTCCCATTAAGTGGAAACATGAATACAATTTATTTCCTAACAAGAACTTTTATAAGATTTTCAGGAATACATTCTGTGGCTTTTATTGCTCAGTAACAAGATGTTGGTTGTAGTCTGCTCTCTCACATGGAACAAGCAACCACTAGTTTTGCAGATCCAGAGACAGCTGTTAGTCAGTGCTCTACATTTACTTTAAAGGAACAGTCCTGATGAAATAGGGCATAGCAACACAGGAATTGTCACTTTTGATGAGACCAGTAGTTCATGTACATCTGTTCTCCTGTCCCTGATGATCCAGAGGAAAAAATTAGGTCTACAGGAAAAGACAAGTTTACAAGAGGAGGTAAATATTGGACACATGGCTAAGAAAATTCTGAACAAGTTGTGAAATAAAGGTGTGATTCTGCTGAAAACCAACGTTCAAACAGCAGTGTCTTCATCGCTTGCCTCCCCAGTCCAAAAAAATGAAACCAAAACTAACAAATGAATACTATTCTAAATGAAGAGTGTTTTATAGTTATTTTTGCAGCTTTATTTGCTTTTAAAATCACTCTTTCAAAAATCTTCCCGTGACTTCTGTAACTCATATCAAAATCCATCTTAGGATATTTGTAACTTTTACATAGTTACAGTGGGACGATGGGACAGGGGACTTGAACTGTAATGCTACACAGTGTGAAAGTATGAAATATTTTTCCTTCCTTTCTTCTTGAGAAATCCTTTTTTATTTTGTTGCTTAGCTGTAACTTTTAGTTTTTTGCTTTTCACACTTGAGCAGATGGACTAATAATCTGTGACTTTCATATTATAACTATTTCATCAAATGTATCATGCCAAAGGGTTAATTTTTGGCCTCCTTGTCATGTCTGCAGATGAATGAATACAAGTCAAGCTAGTAATTCCTCCGAGGCGGTGAGAATACTGCCCTATTGAAGCTGACAGACTCAATCAGAGCTGGCTTCTTGAAGCTCTGGGAGAGGATTAGTCACTACTAACTTCAATTTGATGTGACACCCGGGTGTTACAGTATCCCCTAGGTGCAGCTGTGAGAGTAGAACAGAAAGATATTATAAATATTTCTCCTTCCTCCCCTCACCCCTGCCAAGGTCATTAACTTAACATCATATAACCACTTGTATTGCCTAAAAGTTAGTGCTGTGCGTTTCATATTAAAGGCAAGGGTCATAATTTTAATGATGGATTACTTTTAATAAGAAAGCAGTATATCATGGTCACCAGTGCCTGACCCATAATGGGTGGGGTCTTGCAAGACACCAAAGTTGGTCCTGTTCTTAGCAGCATTTGAGTAGCATAAGTATCTCCTAGAAGACTAAGGCTAAGCCATGAATTTCGGGCTCTCATCCAAATTCCCTAGCAACTTGTGCTAAGTCAGAACAAGGCTTTGACTTGGGTTCAGCTCTAACTCTAATATGATCCAAACCCATGAGAATAATACATTTATCCTCAGCACCAGTGGGAAGCTGTGTCTCCCTTATGTTTTGTTTTATATGGAAAAGGCTAAACAGGCAAGTCACAACTGCACGGATTTGAGAGAACGTGTTTTCTGATACGGATGTTTTCAAGAAGACCTGTGCTGCCACAGATACAAAACTGCTGCTGAACAGACTGATTTGTCCATGTTTGACTCTTTTACCACAGTGTTCTGGAAGGGAGCACTGCAGTAAAAGCACAGATGCTCCTAGCATCTCTTCAAATTTTGTGTTACCAGCAGTGTAATAGAAAGAGTAAGGGCTGTACAATAGCTAAGATACTTCGCCAAAGAATAAATTATAGCCCTCAAGATCAACATGGTATATCCTAAGCTATTACGGTCAACTGCCCAGCAAAGCTGAAGCCATTTCTTGGTCTGCTGATATAAAAGTTAAGACAGATGGGTTCCTTTAATTTGTGTAACAAAGACTGTCAAAGATATTCAGCCAGCACTTCATCCTGTGTTGCTAAATCAGACAAAAATCCCAAGATTTTGGGGATCCTTTCTTAAATTGTTTTTATTTAAAGCGATTTACTACTGTTTTGAAAATGTGATTACATCTTTTGTTTTATTCTCAAATGCTGATGGACATGAACTAGGAAAACCATTGATTCAACTTTAACTGAACCTGCAAATGAATCAATGCTTCCCCGTGCAGTCCTATTTCTTTTGAGATTTGATATTAAGAGGGTATAGCTGTTCTAAGGGAAATCCTTACATTCGCTATTTGTGCACAAGGAAAATGGAATATACTAGGAGGAGGTAAAATTCAATACTGCATGCATGTAGAGTCCCTCTGACCTTCTACAAGATATTTAACATTTATATCTTGGTTTCCTGGAATACAGAAGACTGTTCACTTGCAGTGGGTCAGTTTACCACATTTCTAAAATCCCTCTCTAAAGTCCCACTGGGTAGGATTCTGTGGTGGACACTTCCTATAGAACTTGAGGCAAATACTTTTTTAGGGTTTCTACTGATAGTATGAAACTTACTTATGCCAGGGATACATTACATTAGCTATTTCTTAATTAAGGGTAAGATTTCCATCTTCATATTCAAAAGACTCTCTCATGGCAGCCATGCTTAAGTGAAGACTGGAAGGTTTGTTTTTCAAATGTTGGTATCGTTCATTGCAAAACTTCCTCCCACGTTTGATTAGATCTAAGAAAAGTATAATGAAATGGATGCAATAATGAATAGCTCATGACCTTAGGCCACAAAAAGCAGTCAGCTATCACAAATGCCCCAGTGTGAACACTGCTTCTAAACCCCAGTTAATCCATAAATCTCTTTGTGGCTGAAAAGTTATCTCTCGTGCTGTCATCTTTTTGTAATCCTTTGATGGCAAAGCACTGAGAGATGAGAAAGTGGCTGCGTGTTACTGGGGGTACTTGGGCTTGGCCGCTTGGTGGGATTTACATATTCCAAACTTGCTTCTGAAATTCATCGCCATATCTCTTGAATTGCAACGATTCCAGGGCTCAAATGAACTAAATAAGGCGCTTCTTAAAAGCATAAATGAGGCCAAGAAGATCCATCTCGTCCCGTGCCACCTGCGAGAGACGTTTGTGCTACGTTTTGCTATTTGTTCCCGCACAGTGGAATCCACCCACATCACGTTTGCCTGGCAGCACATCTCACAGCTGGCAACTGATCTGCTGAAAACATGGGAGCAAAACCACCACCAGCAGTAACAGCAGTGAAGTAGCAGTGGGGAGGAGGTAATTAGCTGGCCTTCTGTGTTGCCAAGTTTTATTTTAGGGGCAGGTGGGAAAGTCAAATTATGAAGGAAAAAAATATAAAACCTCTTGTTATATAGCCCAGCTGCAATAGCAAAATCCTTGCCAGCAAGCTGTGTTGTAACCTTATTCATTCCTTCTCTGTACTGTAGTTTCATCTTGCCTGTTTCCAGGATGCACATAGCCATGGGGGCTCGAGCTGTCAAGCCTTTCTTACCAGTTTGTAATCCAGAGCTTTTATGAACCAGGCAATGGAAGGGTTAGTGCTTTCTCTGTTGTCCCCCTTAACCTCTAGCACACCCACCCCTCTTCTCACAGATGAAACGGTGAGGTGTTATAACCAATTAACATTGCTGTGACTTCAGAAAGAGTCCAAGTCGGGAGAAGTTTAGTAAACTGGTTCTAACACTGTACATGTCCTATCTAAACAGGCGCACACAAATGTTGTTGTCATGATGTGGGGCACTATCATGTCATGACATGCTTGCTGCAGTCATTTTGTAAATGAAGTTAGAACTTCAGGACTTACATATCCAGGTCAGGGAGGAGTGAGCACTAAATGAACACTAACCATCATTGTGGCAGGTTCTCCACTTTCTCCTAAAGGCTTTGCTTTTAAAACAGCCATTTCGTCCAATCTCAACAAATAGGTTATGCTGGCTATTGGCTTTCACTTTGATCATTCATAATGAGGCTTCTTAAAAGCTCCTTCTTAAGAGTTTTGGCAAAAGCCATGTGCTACCTGGTATTCTATATTTTTAACCAAGTTACTATAAGCAGTGATTACTTGAAAATAATCTGTAAACTATGTTCTGTGAAACAGAATTGTGATTTCTTTTAATGGCTATCATTCTGCTTACTTCATTGTGTAATAAATCTTTGACAAAATATGCTAAGAAATGAGATGGCAAAAATGTTACTCTTTGTTTCTCAAATTAGCTAACAAAAGAGATAACAAATTACAATATAAATTAAGAGAACTAACCCCCAAAATAAGCTGTGGTGCCCTCATCAGTGTTTTTCTTCCATTAACAGTGACGCATGGAATATGAAAATACTGGAAAACAATTAACCTTCAGAGAAAGTCAAATAATATGTACATGGCACAAACGATTGATATGTTGTCCTGCCAAAGGCAGGTACAGTCAAGAGGTGAAATGGAAGTCAGAAACACCATCTGACTTTAATAAGTACTTCTGCTGTTTTGAAAACACAAATTCCAGACAGTTACTTCTGTGTAAATAAGAACAAAATAAATAGCTACTCCAAGAAAAATAACCTGTAGGATTAATTTCTACATTTGCATTTGTTTTCATCTTTTTCCTTTTACTGCTCATATTAACTTCTAAAGCATCTTGAATAACTCGCACAATTACTCAGCTTTCTCCCTTCATCCCTTGCAAGTATACTTCCTACATTTGGGAATTGGCAAGTAGGCCATGAAACATGCACCAGGACAATTACTTTGGCACACAGTCTGCTCCTACCCACTGTCTTTCCAGAAGGGATTAAATAAACTGACTATGGACCAGGTGGATTATTCTGGTGATTCCTAATCACCTCACTGCTGTGGTGCAAACTGGGGAAGGATTAGTATTATTGTGTGCACAAGTGGTACATCAGAGATGTGCATGAATCCTGACACTGAGGAAAAACTGACCAAGCTCTGCATTTTCAGCAGGTCAAGCTGTGCAACTAGGGGAGGCGCTGGCATACCACCCTTCTGTAAGGCTAGCCAGAGGCTGTGTTACCCACCCAGACAGAAAAGCTAATTACTATTTAAGGAATTGATTTCACAGGTAACAGATGAAGCAAAGGATGACAAATTAATCTGGCAAAAACAAGTAGTACTCGAGCAGGTGACTGAGCCTTTCCACAAGACAATACTCTAAGCTCCAGTATCAGGAATTTCGATAGCATCATTCTCTTTAGCAGAACCAATATGAAATTAAGCTTTTCTATAGTAGAACAATGTAATAGATTGGTAGACTGAAGAGATTGGAAAATGCTGGCAGTTGTTTCCTTTCTCTGTTACTAGTTTTTTGAAAACATTCATTTCTCATGACTTGGGAGACAAAGTTCACCCATAGCACATATATCATAGAATCACAGAATGGTTTGTGTTGGAAGGGACCTTAAAGATCATCCAGTTCCACCCCCCCTGCCATGGGCAGGGACACCTTCCACTGGACCAGGTTGCTCAAAGCCCCGTCCAGCCTGGCCTTGGACACTTCCAGGGAGGGGACGTGGTCCACACTGATACAATTTTACAGATTTTGCATTATGAAAACACTAGAATCTAGGAGCCAGAGAAGAATTACACCTTCTCTATGAGACAGACCAGTATTTTGCATGTGAATATATAACCAGGTCTGCCCAGGAGAAAAAAAAAAAAGAAAAAACGAGATCAGATTCTGATCAAAGCTATCATGGAGTAAATCTAGGATAATTCCACTGAAATGAAGTGGAGCTGCTTTGGGCTTATGTGGCTATAATTGAAATTAGAATCTAACTAATAAGTACTGGAAAAGAAATGCATAAGGTAAGGCAACACTAGACTGAACAGAAGAGGATTTTGGTGGAAATCCTCTCCATGGAAACCAGAGCAGAGGTGGATGATGCACACCTGTGTGAGCCTCAAACTGCTGTAGAACAGGGGCATGGCCAGGATGCATATCCAAACCCAGGAGAGGTGAAATGTTCCCAGCAGCCCAGAATTAGACGTAGGTCCCTCTAGACATTTGTGGGAAAATGTTGCTGAAGCTGACATTGTTAAACATTCTTCAGCATATGGGTATCAGTTTTAGAAGAGGCTGTTGTCAATACCAAAACTCCTTTTGGCAAAGAACTTAGATAAGGGTTAATTTAAAATATTATAAATGTAGTAGAAGTTAATTTATTTTTGTTTTTAAAGAAGTGATGTAAGTAAATCTTGTAATAAACAGCAGTGACAATACCTATGGAATTATATTTGCCCATGGCTAGCCAAATACAGAAATCTGAAGTTCACAGTTCTAGTTCTTCTGAAATTCTGGGATGATCTGAATATGTACTTGGTGAAGGCCGTCTTAGTATTTATTCAGTCTCACATACCCTCTTTTCCCCATATGGTAAGTCCTTGATTGACTATTAATGTTAGGTTATCTGAAAATGAAGTCTGGGCTATGTAATCAAGAACTAAAGTGTTGAAAAGAACATTTTGAAAGAAGAATGTAACTGCTGTTTCTGTTCTGTAGCTTTGCACCATATCTGTAAGTGAGAAATACTGTATTTATGAATAGTTAATATGTGAACCTGAATTTGTTTTGCCTTGTGTGCAAAAGCTAATACAGTCTGTGCCAATTAATGCTGTTTGATGTTAAAAATACTTACAACATCTCAGAACTGTACTTTAGTAGAATATCCACATCTCAAGGGAGACAGTGCGGCTACTAGAGGAGGGAAAAAAAGTAACTTTTTCAGTAACCGTATGTGCTTTTTTTTTAAACTAGTGGAGCGCTAGTACAATACTTACATTCCTAATAATGATGACAGATTATAAATATATTTTATTACTGATGGTGAAATACTGAAAAGATACGTATTTATGAAAGTATTGCTAATATATGATACTCTGAACTGAATTATAATTATTAAATTTATAACTTTCTCTTGCATTTGCATATCATATTCTGCTCACAGTGATTGTTTTGTTGTTGTTGTTGCTGTTGTTGTCTCCTGTAAGGATGCCATATTTGATGAGTAGCCCTCACATTGCAGTTGCCTTAAAACAGCAGTCTAAATGTTGAGATGTGTAAACCTGAATTGCTCAAAGCCAGGAGCAAATGAGAAATAAAACCGAGAACTCTGAAGACCAGGGTGGTGGGGGCAGATTAAATAACCATCAATGGATAATACCTACATCACATACACAGAGTCTGTGTGACCTAAACGGAAAAGTAATCAGATGTTTAGTGCTTTTTTATTACCATTTGTGAGCTGCCAAGTTTTTTCAAAATCTGTATCCATAGCCTACTAAACAGACGTGTGGGTTTTAATTGGCAGCATTAATAAATGGAAACAAAACTATGACTATTGTCTGTCTTTGCTCTTAACGAAGCTTTTCCCACTTTATTCACGCCAGATGTGCTGTAAGGAGTCCACCTTGCCCACTCAGGTCACGTCAGTGCCCTGATTTTCACCATCACATTTTTCTCAATGCGTCCTTTGAACAAACTGCTCTGCAAATGAGAGTTCCCACGGGAAGTTTCCTCCCCGGCAACGCAAATCTGAAAAATCTTGGCCACAGCTAGGGTCGATGCCAACCCTTCTGCACGGTCCTGCAGCTGGATCTGCCACTGGAGCCAGCTGCCCAGCTTCAGTTTTGGTTTGCAGCTGAGGCATGGTCAGGCAGGACGAGGCAGCAGCCCCTTCCGTTAGCCCTGCCTGGCTGCAGCCCCCCTTCCCCAGGGGAGCTCGCAGCTCTAGGCTCCCGCGCTCCCAGCCCCGCTGTGCGAGGGGAATCAGGCAAGCGCGCCCTGGCACAAATTTGACGGCAGCAACATTGCAAACTATAAATGTTAGCCCAATTTGGTCTTAGATGATAGCTTGCATAGTAGCACAGACAGTTTAATAGGCTGTCTGCACAAGCTTGATGTATAACAAAGACCTGACAGCAAGAAATGTTTCTCGTGGAAAATTAAATGTTCACCCACACAGAAGTGACGGTGTTAATACCAGAGGTGTGGAACTGCAGCACAGTATGCTGATGTTGGTGCGCGCCAATTTGAAGGTGGGTTGGCATGATCCGGGTAGGGACTCCGTGTCCAGTTCCTGGGACACACGCGCCTGGGTGCCCGTGCCCCACGCACCCTGTAAGGCATCGTGGGATCCATCCCATCCCTCCGCCAGCCAGCGCGCAGCTACTGCTGCGGAGACCTTCGGCACAGCTCTTCTCCCACGCAGGCCTCCGCATCAGCTCTCGCTTAGGAGGGTGCCGGGCAGCGCCAGCTCCTGACACGGCCACGGTGGCTGTGGTAGGCTCGCAGCGCGCGCCACGGCGGGGGCGGTGAAGGAGGCGGCCGCGGGGTCCAGGCCCCGCGTGTGCAGGAGGTGCCGCTGCCCGGCGCTGGGGCGCGTCCCCCCCGTCCCCCCGCCTGCTCCGCATAGCGGGCAGTGAACGAGCCGAGCGCCCGGCCCTCCGCCGGCCCGGCCTCCTCCAAATGGGAGGGCGGGCACCCAGGCGGCCTTACCAGCGGGCAGCCGGGGCCTGTCGCCGAGAGGTGCCCGCCCGGCCGTTGCGGACACCCGCCGAGCCCCGCGGACGCTCCGGCTGCTGCAGCCGCCCAGCGCGCCTGCGGGCGCCCTTCCCCGCCCCCTCCCGGCCCACGGGAACGCCTCCCTCCCGCCTCTGCGACTCCCGCTGCCCCAGGCGCTGCTCTGGGCAGGCGGGAACTGCCATAAAGCCTTTTAAATTCTCCGGCCTCTCCCTTCTGCCCGGCTCCGACCTCCACCTGAAGAGCCCCCACCTCTACCGCTGCCGTCCTGCCGCCGCGCGGGCCGGCTGCGAGCAACGCCCACCCACCGGCCAGCGCGCGCCGCCGGGGGCGGGGCCGGCCCACCTCCCAGGGCACGGATCCCGTGCCTATTGGAGGGCGCTGCTGAGGCGCGGCCAATGGGGAGCCCTGGCCCTCCCGCGCTCCACCCCCTGCCGGCGAGAGGCCCGGTGAGCCCGCCGGCGTGACGTCAGCGCAGCGATCCTCCTACCCTCCCAGCGATTGGCTGCACCTCCCGGAGCCCTGCTGCCCGATTGGTGGGCGGCAGCGAGGCGAGGCCTGGGGCAGAGCGGGAGCGGGATCTGCGGCGGCGGCGGCGGTTGTGGCGGGTGGGTGTGTCTGTCCGTCTGTCCGTCTGTCTGTGTGCGCGGGGGGGGGCGGGCGGGAGAAGCGCGGGGGCCGAGGGACCCCTTCTGCCCCCGTGCCCCCCGCCTCCGCCGCCGGCGTGCCGCGGCCCGGCCGTTGGGGGCGGTTGGTGGCCGTTGCGCCCCCTCCCCCTCAGGCGCGAGGACCCTCGCTGCGCTCCCGCGGCTGCGCCCGCGCGGCGGGCCCGGCCGGTTTCGGGGGGATGCGGGTGTGGGGGGGTGTGTGTGTGTGTGGGGGGGGGGGGGGGGGCGTTGTGCTTCGCCGCTCCCGGCGTGGTGAGGGGCGTTGAGCCGCTGGAGGCGGCTGCGGGGTGCGGGGTGGGGCTGGGCCTCGGCGGGGCCGCTGCCGTGCTGCCCTCCTGCCTTGGCTTTTCGTGCCGGCGGGCAGGCGGGGCTGCCCCCCCCGGGTGTTGCACGGGGACGTGTGTTCGCGGATGAACGCAGCGGCATCCAGCACGTGGCTTGTCGGACAGTCGCTTGCTCCTCTGTTCGCTGGGGCTGAAGCCTGCGCGCCAGAAATTCATTGCTGCCAGTCCTGTGGCAAACCCCCAGCTTCAGACACTTTATTTGCAAGTACGGTGTCCGCGACATCTGGGGGCAGTTTTGGCTGTTGAAGAATGTTGTATGCGTTTGCCCGTCTCTTGGGGAAAAGCAGACTATGAGGACAACTAATAGGAGTTAGAATAGGGAGATATTAGAAGATACTTAAGAAGAAAAATGAAACTGAAATTTTAAATCACCTACCCCTGCTCACTTACGCCCATCCCTCGGTGCTGTTAAGGTGATTACTCAATCTTTGGAAAGTGGTGGTGAACTTGAGATTTTATATTCTGAATGATGTAAATCTATGGAAATATTTCATGCCAGCAAGTGGCAGTTACTAAACTTTTTCTGAACTTAGCTTTTATGTTTCATAAGGTTGTTTTGATTCAACAGTTGCAAAAAAAAAAAAAGATGTGTGCACAGTAACAGTTATTTAGTATGTTGTTTAGAGAAAAGAAATAAAAGGCTGTGGCCTTCCATCCCCTGTTAGCCTGTCACTCAGTTGCAGATGGATTCTGATGGGAATTTGCACCTCATTTGGTAGGTGCAAGTTAGACTTCTCACAGTGCAAAAGTTCACAATATTTTTTCAGAGGAAGCTTAATTTTGTGGTTTTATTTTTTTAAATGGCTTCCCATGTAAAGGCACTGAATTTGCAGGTGAAATATATTTTTGACTTTTCTAAACAGCTCTGGAAAGTTGGGCTAAAGTCCAGACCAAAATAATTTATCTCCTTATTGTTTATTATGTGTACAACTGCTCCAGCCATAATCATACTGTGGTCTCTGTTGTCTAATACTGATGCAAGACTTTTTTAAAGTAAATAGAGGGGACCTCCCACACACCCCAGATTCCTTCAGTTCTGCCTCCCCAGTCTTGTATGCACATTACACCTGTACCTTGATCTGCACTCGTGCACAGTCTGTGGCTGATTCGGAAGGAGATTGCAAGTTGACTTGTATTCTCTTGGAAGGGGTGCAGAATATATGGACCTCCACTTTAACAGATTTTGTTTTAAGTATTTTCTGGCTGGAACATCCTGGTACATCCTGAAGTTAAAAAAAAATGAGAAATTATAATTTGATGTATTTCGGTCATATCATATATATTAGATGTATGTCCCTTACAGACACATGAGAAGATCGGAATTACTCTGTTAAGAGCTTTCTGCACACCCTGTTGAGGCAGTGCTAGGTTTCTCTTCATTTTGCTTGTGTCTTCTGAAATCACGAATCCTTGAAATTACCAGAAATATCTCTGCATGTGATATGTTGCAGAGAAAGACTTGCCTGAACATCTTAAACATGAGCATATCTTTTCAAGCCTAGCAAAATGCTCCTTCCTAGCCTAATGTGATCCTTCCTATTTCTTTAAGGAAAAATCACTGAAGGAATTTAAAATCTACTTTCTAAAACTGAGAAACAAGCATTGCTTTAAACACACAAGAGCTTGTTTCTCGAAAATGTAAAATGGGGACATTTTAGATTGTTCCAAATGGAACAGTTACCACTATCAGGCTTACTCGTTCCACTTCACCTTCCCTCAGAGACTTTGCAAATAGTTTTATTTATTAGCTTCATTATTTAATTTTTATTACTATCACTGTAACAAATGTCATCATTCTGACAGTGATGTATGATCTGCCCTCCTGCATTCTGTCAAATAGAGTGAAGGCATTGGTGATTTAACAAGGCCAATTTCTGTTTGGCCATCCGTTACTATTCTTTGCAGTCTACTTACCTCCCCAGGAGACCACTGGTTAGAAGCAAACTTTTTTTTTTTTTTTTTTTCTCTTCTTTTCTTTGAACAAGGAAGAAAAGAGAACCTCTGTCTAAATGACTTTACACCACAAATCTGGTTGCTTTTTGAAAATGGTAAAGTGTCCAGCTGGCTAAGTAGCTGACAACATCTACTGTACTGTTCCTCTCAATTAAAAGAATGTATGTATTTAGGAAAGGGGGAAAGCAGCCAAAGCAAATAGCTGTGAAATGCATTTTATAACAGCAGGTATTTTATGTATGTTTCAGTGTCAGTGATGGAAACCCCCACCCATAGCACCGTGCACCTGAGCGACTGGCAGAAAAGTTACTTTGCTATTACTTCTGGCACCTGCACACCCGGACAGAAGGCAGATGAATACCGTGCCAAAATCCTGCATATTCAGTATGCATGGGCAAACTCCGAGATCTCTCAGGTCTGTGCTGCCAACCTGTTTAAAAAGTATGCAGAGAAATACTCTGCAATTATTGACTCTGACAACATAGAGACTGGCTTGAATAACTACGCGGAAAACATTTTGACTTTGGCAAAGTGTCAGCAAAATGGCAGTGACAAGTGGCAATCTGCCTTGACAACAGATAATGTACTGGAATTAAAGTGTGTGCAAGAGAGGATGCAGGCTGGCGGAAATTTCCAGAGCTCTCAGATGGCACCAACAGCTGCCTGTGTACTAGCTGATAAAGAGGTCAGTGCCTCTGCTGCTCTTCCTAAACTCGGTACCTTCAGCAGTGCCGGAGAGACTGAGCTCTGTGCTGCCTCAGCAAAAAGTGCAAGTCGGGGACCAGATCTCCTTGAGCATCCCTCATCTTCAAAGTCTCTTCAAAGCAGCATGTCTCCTGTTACCAAAACTCTGGATACGCTTCTTGCTTCTTCGGCCTCCTTAAATGAACAGGTTCATACAGGTTCCCAGGCAACTCCGCTATTTGGAAGTAAAGAAGTGACAAGTAGTAGTTCTCTGAAAATGCCAGATAACTGTCAAGACGGACAAAATTTGTCTGTTTCCAATCAGTCAGTTGTACCTGCATGGTCCACAAGTTCTGGAAAAAGAAAAGCGTTTTACGGTCTGGCTGATGAAGGCAGCACGGTGACTCCTAGCCTTGCTCCCTGCCAGGCTTCCGTTAGTACAGAAACCAGTAGTTTATCAAGGTATAGAAACAGAAATGAAGAGAGCAGTGTTCCCGGTTTTAGAACTGCAAAGGAACAGCTGTGGGTGGATCAGCAAAAGAAACCTCAAAACCTACCCCAGCGCACACCAGTCTCTTCATATGGCGGTGTAAAAAAATCGCTGGGTGCAGGCAGGTCTCGGGGTCCATTTGGCAAGTTTGTTCCTCCGGTTCCAAAACAAGACGGAAATGAAAACGGAGGAGCACAGCGTAAACCTGGTGCAAGAGGACCAGCAGATCCATCGCTGCCTGTAGATGAACGACTGAAAAACATAGAACCAAAAATGGTTGAACTCATTATGCACGAGATCATGGACCACGGGCCTCCTGTCAACTGGGATGACATTGCCGGAGTTGAATTTGCTAAAGCTACTATAAAAGAAATAGTAGTCTGGCCTATGCTGAGGCCAGACATCTTCACTGGGTTACGTGGTCCTCCTAAAGGAATTCTTCTCTTTGGCCCCCCTGGGACCGGCAAGACTCTTATAGGCAAGTGCATCGCGTGCCAGTCTGGAGCCACTTTTTTTAGCATCAGTGCCTCTTCTCTGACTTCCAAATGGGTAGGTGAGGGGGAAAAGATGGTCCGTGCGCTGTTTGCTGTGGCACGATGTCAACAGCCAGCAGTGATTTTCATTGATGAAATCGATTCTCTGTTGTCTCAGCGTGGAGATGGGGAGCACGAGTCATCGAGAAGAATAAAAACTGAATTTCTGGTCCAGTTAGATGGGGCAACAACCTCCTCTGAAGATCGTATTCTCGTGGTTGGAGCAACAAATCGGCCCCAAGAAATCGATGAAGCTGCGCGAAGGAGACTAGTGAAGAGACTCTACATTCCTCTCCCGGAAGCCTCGGCTAGGAAGCAGATTGTTACCCGTCTAATGTCAAAGGAGCACTGCTCTCTAAATGAAGAGGAAATCGAACTCATAGTTGAGAAATCGAATGGATTTTCTGGGGCAGACATGACCCAGCTCTGTAGAGAAGCTTCTCTGGGCCCTATCCGCAGTCTTCAGTCCATGGACATTGCAACCATCATGCCAGACCAAGTGCGGCCTATCGCTTTTCTGGACTTCGAGAGTGCCCTCAGAACCGTGCGGCCCAGCGTCTCCTCAAAGGACCGAGAGCTGTATGAAACCTGGAACCAGACATTTGGCTGTGGCAGATAATTGCATCCTGTTTTGCAGAAACATTTCTTTAGTGCTGTCACGTATTAAACCCATGATAATTCGGAGTGTCTGCACTTCTTTATGTTTCTGTCTTCGAAAAAAGTCTTCTTAATGTTATGCAGGCAGACGTTTGGGCCCTGGCCTGAGGTTTTGCCAGCTGAAAAGACCATGAGAAACTGCTGGTCAGTCACAATGTGAGAAATTGCTGAACACAAGTAACAGAGTGAGAAGCTGACAGAAATCACAGATAGCTGCTGTGAAGGATGGACGAATTTCACAGATGTTTAAGGGGAAGGTGGTCAAACCTCCCATACAATCAAAGGGACTACTCTGGGGAATCTTGCAAAGCCCACTGTGCAGTATCAGTAATACCCTGCAAGGCTGAGGGGACCTGGCTAATGTTGTCAGAAATACCAGTTTGGGGTGGGGATGTAGCAAAACTAGGACTGATGGGGAAAAGTAGTTTGGGGCACATTGTTTGGGAGGAGGCAAGAATGGAGGAAGGAAAGGGTCAGGGCGGATGTGGGAAGATCAAAGGGTGCTGATAGGGGATGGTCTCATGGAAGCAGTGCTCTTGTCTGTGCTACATCACTGCAGTCTGCCCCATCTTCTCATTAAATACTTTTTCTGATGATTTTCTGCTTGACCTTGCTTTCTGTGCCGCATCTGTGCGCGTGGATGTGCGTTACCGGGAGGTCTGTGCACCTGCAGCAGCAGCAGGAGGGGCCATGGCTCGCAGGGGCCAGCCGTGGGTGAGCCAGCGCGTTTGCGGGTGTGTGCAAACCTCGCTAGCAAGCTTCAGGCTGGGCTGGCTGGCACGTAGGTGGAAGCCGGTATCTGGGAAGAGCCCAGGTATAAGCCAGTGGCAGGGTAAGGGGGCTCAGGGCCTGGGCGTGGGTATTAGCTGAGCTTGAATCCCGTGGCAGTGTCTGAAGGCTGCGTGAGCGTGGTGTCCTGGGGAGAGCGGGCGCCTGCGCGCCTAGCCGGTGAGCTTCAGCCCTGTTGGGCTGGAGGGGAGGGACAAGGACAAGGGGGGGCTGTGTGGCTGGGTTCATGGGAACGCAATTGCCGTGTGTGTGCGTGCTGGTAAAGGTGCTGCTTGCTTTGTGTCCTTGTGTGTGTGTGTATCTGCTGCTGTGGATTAGGGGCTCAGCCTCACTCCTGGCTGGACCCTCAAGCAAAACCAGCGGCAGCTGTAATCATCAAACCCAGATGGGAGAAGCCTTAGGCTGAGAGTGCTCCTGATCGGGCTCCAGGGGCCAGGAAGGAGAAATCCCGTGTCCCAGCGCCAGCTGGGTTCCACTGCTCCTTAAAAAAAATCTTCATGCAACAATGGTAGAATTCCGAGCTAGTTGGTGTTTGGTGCTCTTACCATTTGGTCTAAATGAAATGCACTGCCGTTTGTTCACATCACCTGTCCTTGCCCACTGGCTGGACAGAGCTGTATGAATGGAAAGTAATTTAAAAGATTGCCTTTGGATTCTTTTGTCAGTGTGGCCGAGCCGGCTGCTGTGGTGTCCATGCTTTATTTTCAGTTTCTTTAAAGTACTTTTTCTCCTACTGGAGAAAATGCAGAGTTTACAACTAGTTATACTTAGAATTTTGTAAAGATGGATAAAAGCTGTTTAGCATTTTCTAAAGCCATTTGGGAACTACAGGGGCTGTGAGCCTAGTGAACCATGAATTCAGAATTACTTGGAAGACTTGGCATTTCTTAGAGCTCATTCTGATTTAAACATAAAAACGTTGGTTAGCTTATGCTTTTAGTAAAATTTGGTATGTATTAGAAATTGCTATGCAGAGATGTAAAAATTGAGGTATGCAAATTTATCTTAATTTTTGAAATAGTGAAAGTAGAATAATGAGACTATTTTGTAAGAATAAATGTGTGATGTGGTCCAAACTGATTGACGTTTGTGCCACTTGGGTAAAGATTATGAGATAAACTTGTAAAGAGCAGATTTAATTATTGGACCCCTATAAACATGTACTAGGTGAGATTTTTTGCTCTCTCCAACCCTAATGAAAACATGCTCTTTACAATCTTTTCTCAGGCAAGTGAATGAAAACCCCAGAGGAATGTTAATTGTTTAGTAAAACCTAAGGGCTGCTCAAGGGTAATAAAACCCTTACATATGATTAAATAATTGCCTTATTTATGCCGGGAATTATTCTGGTATGCTATGTGAGCATTCTGTGTTTGTCTGTGTATCTGAATATTCACATTTTAATGGAAGTGGCTCTGCTGAAAGGACCAGTGAGAAGGCACGTGGTGGTAGAGAGTAAAACGCCTCCTAAGACGAGAAGGACTGGGAGAGAAATGCTGTGCTGCTCTCTTCTGCAACGTGGAACTTGTGAGAGAGATAAAAGGTACCACCACAGCGGCAGACAGGAGCGTTCTTCCTCCTGCTTCTTACCTTATTCCTTACTTAGCACTCTCTTGACTCACATCAACATGCTTTTGTTTTAAAAAGCACACAGAAATAGTGAAAGGGAACATCAAGCAAAGTTTATTCTTTGTCTTTTTCAGTAATGATGCAGGTAATACGACTACCTCTTCAGCCATCCAGCAATATTCAGGCTCTGCTGCAGGACTCGCGAGTCAGCAGACTTCCTATGTTAGCCCAATCTGCGTCTCACAACCCGCTATAACAGTGCCACCAAACAAGAGATTAGACCGCCGGTAACATAATTTCACAAAATACAGAAAATTGCCCAGAAGTAGGGCATGATTGTAATTTAAGGGAAATGGTGCAGATAAATCTACTTTAATGGATCTGTTTGGTGTATGCAGAAACCCCTGTACTTCATTATTTATTCTTTTTGGCTGGCTGAACTTTGGAAGAAGAAACGCCGGACTGTCCTGGTTTTGTGGTTCAGTAACATTTGGTGCACAATCTTAGTTTCTCTTGAATGAAGGTAAATAATTGCAGTCCTGGAAAAGTGAGGTCTTATTAATAATCAAGGCTATTTGGAATCTTTATTTTCTCAGTGCATCTTGTGTTTGAGTTAGCTAAATTGTCTCAGAGCAGTATGAAATCCCCAGATGGATTTTCATTTATACAAAATGGTGCCGACACAAGTAGGTAGAAAGCTGATGAAGCAGCAATGATCATCATCTGCGGCTGGCAAGTGGATGAAAACCAGACCGGCCTCTGAAAGCACCGTTATCATTGTCCTATTGGAATAAGGCAATTTTTGTTTTTATCATAGAAATTAGGGAACTACTCCCAAGCCAACGTGTCATTGGGAAAAAACCCACCAAACAGGAAAACCCAACCAACCAAAAAACCACTTTTCCTATTAAAATAGTTTCGGTGGCAGTGCGGGATTGGTCGTAGTGAGCACTTGCATTTACTAAGTCTTAGAAGATGCTTTGAACTGTAGACACACAAACAGCTCTTCCACTTGTCTTCAGGCTCATGAGTGCACATTCTTTCAAATGTAAAGGAAAGGTTGGTGTTGAGAGTTTGGGAGGGCGGCCCATGGGGCAGGTTGACCTCGGCTAACCGCCTGGCGCTCACCCAGCCCCGCGCTCGCTCCCCCTCCTTCCTGGGACAGAGGGAGAGACTGGGATGAGAGCTTGTGGGACGAGATAAAGGCAGGGAGGTCACTCAGTGGTTATGATTGTGGGCAAAACTGACTCGGCTTGGGGAAAATTAATTTACTGCCAATTAAAGCAGATTTGGGTAGTGAGAAACAACAAAGGTGACGAACACTGAAACAGCACCTTTCCTCCCTGCTGTCCCAGACCCGACTCCGCTCCCAGCTCTCCTCCCCTGCTGCCGCCAGGCTCAGAGGGGGGGAGGCTGCAGTCAGTACATAGAAGTTTCTCGCTGCAGCTTCTTCCCCCTCGTGTTTTTCCCTCTGCTCCGGTGCAGGCACTCCATGGACCACAGTTCTTTCGGGAGTACCCATGGGCTGTCTCATGGGCTGCATCGTGGATATCTGCTCCGCTGTGGGTCCGTTGGAAACAGCTGTGTCTGGCGTGGGGCAGCCCCTGGCCCCTTCCCACGGGGTCACCCCTGCACCCCCCACCTGTGGCAGGGTGGAAGATAGGGGAGATTTTCACTGAGGCATGATGCTTGTTTTTTCTTTTCAGTTTGTAGGTTATCTTCAGCAAAGTTGTTCCGAAGTTGCTGTGTTTTCCCATCTTTCCCAGCTTGGTTTCAAGAGCAAAGTTACGTAGTGGAGCTTCCCTCTTCCATCGCTTAAGTCACTAATAAAAACATCGACGCTGCTGCAGGAAAGACCCATGTGAAATCTTCTTTGATATGGCCTTGTCATTTGCCTATAACTGCACTTTGAATATGGTCTTAAAATTAACTGTGCACTTGTGTTACAATACTTTCATAATTTCTATCTTCAGAAAATATCATGCGAGAATTGTAAAAGACTCACAGAAGGTAAGATACGTCCTTTATTCATATTCCCATATTGCCATGGCACGTTACCTGTTCCAGAGGAATACTAGGTTGTTTTCTTGTGGCGGAGGAAGATGCAGCAGCAAGCAAAAGGCAATATTGTTCTCTTCCAGAATCTGAGGGTCGAGGAAAGTGAATGGCAGCTGCAGGCAGGGGTGCTGAAAAGATACTGAATCTGCTTTTTGGCTGGCAGAGATGATACAGTGCTTTCTCAGGCTACTGGGGAGAAGGGAGACAACTGCCATTTCCCCACTCAGGCATGACTGGAGTCGTTAGCTGGATGGGGAGGAGGGGACCAGAAAAGGGGAACCTTCGGCTGTGCAAGTTCAGGCAGGGGCAAGGTTGCTGCTGCTGCTGCTGCGGAGTTGGTTGTAGCGTCACAACCAGGTAGTTCATCCTGACCTGGATGTGTGCGGCTTAGGTGGTGCCTCAGATCCCCTAACAACACCCTAAGCCTGAGAGTGCCCCTCTATGTGAGTTGAGTTAGCTTGTGGACTTCATGGGTACGGTGGCATCTTACGTTCTGTCGTACTTCTGAACATACCACGTTTTCCTTTGGCTACCGGTGTATGTGGCATAATCAAACATCCACGCTAGAAATACAGCTGGGCTCCTCTGAGTCTTTTCAACAAAGCCATGTGAGAAAAGCTCCCAGGAGCTGAGGCTTTCCTTAAATTATGCCGATAGAGAATTCCAGTTTCAGATTAGTTTGGCTGCTTTTGGAACTGGAATACTGCAATCTGAAATTCTCACTGGGCTTTGTAAAGTGGAAAGTCCTGGGCATGTGAAACTAAATGATGGGTCTGCTAATGCATTGCTTTGAAAGAGCATCTAGAATGATTGTGTATTTACAGTCAGGAAAAAAAATACATTAATACTCTCCTCTTTTTTTTTTTTTTTTAAGAAGTAGATCACAAGATTCCAGCCAGTGGCTTGTGAAACTTCCTACCCAATTCATACAGGTTTTGAGTTCTGTACTGTGGGTTAAAGTGTAAAGAGAGATGAAATTGCCTAGGCTTTTGCTTTTAAATTTAGAGTAGTTTCTATGATATTTTTACTCTATTTACTGATACTAGTTAAACTGTCCTTTGATAACTTTTTACCTATAGCGAGAAGAAAGGATGTCTCTGTCAGTTGGGATGATCCTTCCACCGAAACCTCTTACACAGAATTGTTTTGATTAATAGGAGTCACCAGCTAGAAAAATTAC